GGCAATTCTTATTGTGGCTGAGATCTAACCCTATCTTTGTTCAGCCCTTGCTGCAGGGAGTAATGGATTACCAAATCTGCATTTCTAAAAGTTGGCCCCAGTTTAGTATCTGCTCGGGGGCAGGAAGCTGGGGCTCTGAGTTTCTGTCTCCCTTAAGATTTTTATTTCTCTTTTAGGGGAAATATTTTATCCTGCCTTTTTAAATATTTCTCAAAATATTTCATTCTTCTAGGAGAGGGGTGGGTGCTAACTTTCTACAAAGCCATCTAAGTTAGAAGCCATCTCTGTGTCTTGTGGTAATGAGGCTGAAACGAGTTAAACTTATATGATTGAGTCTGAGTCAGAGGAATGATTGAGTCTGTCATCTGCACCTCTATAACTGTCTGGTTTGGTTCTGCAACCCAACAAGACAGACACAGACTTCAGAGGATAATTAGAATTGCAGAAAAAACAATGGCTACCAACCTGCCTTCCATTGAGGACCTGTATCCTGCAGGAGTCAAAAAGAGGGTTGTGAAAATATTTACAGACCCCTCGCATCCTGGACATAAATTGTTTCAACTTCTACCCTCAAAACGACGGTATAGGGCACTGCACACCAGAACAATTAGACACAAGGACAGTTTTTTGCCCCATGCCATCACTCTGCTAAACAACTAATTCCCCCAACACTGTCTAATTATTAACTAAGACTGTATTAGTATTATTCTTCGCAAATTTCCTATTACCTATTTCCTTTTCTACTTATGACTATAACTTTGTTGCTTGTGTCTTTACGATTTATATTGTTTACTTAGCAGACTAGTATGATTTATGTTGATTCCTTATTTAGTATCCTATGATTATCACTGTTGTAACTTATGATTCATGAGCACCTGCGTGCCTACCCAGGGATGGGTTCTACTTACCTTTACTACCAGTTTGTATCGTGCGTGCACTTCTGCTCATGTGCAGATCACCTATGATGATGTCCGGGTCAGTGGGCGGAGCCTCCGTCTGGTTTTACTACCGGTTCTTGTGAACCGGTCCGAACCGGGGGCAACCCATCACTGTGCCTACCGTCCCTGTCCTAATGTTTCCTCTACTTGTATTTATTTTATGTATTCAATTCATGCTTATAATTATATAAATTACCTAATACGTTCTTGACAAATAAATAAATAAAATAAATAAAATAAATGATGAATGTATTTATGATGACTGTGATCGTGATTTAACACTTATATATTTTATGTACACTGAGAGCTTATGCACTGAAGACAAAATCCTTGTGTGTCCAATCACACTTGGCCAATAAAGAATTCTATTATTGATGCATATTAACAGGTGCTTAGCAAATCTCTGAAATTCCAACCTACCTGAGGGTACTTATGACCCAGACTGAAAGTTCCAACAGTCAACCCCCCCCACTCCATTCCTCGCAGGCGTGTGACCCCTCCTTGAGCACTCAGCAACCGGATCGTATTTACAACAATTTGCATCCTCTTGCAGTCATGTGACTGTGTTTTATAATGATGTTGCTGAAAGCTGGCATTTACTTCTGGTTTTCAGCAAAACCTTGCCTAGAGCAAACTTTTACTTCATTTAAAGACATAGATTCATTTAGCAACGATGCCCAAAAAAAGTTTGTAAAAGCAGAACAGTCACCTGACTGTCATTAGTTACGATTAGAGAACATAGAATAATAGACTTGGAAGCAGTGGTGAAATCCATTTTTTTTTACTACCGGTTCTGTGGGCGTGGCTTGGTGGGTGTGGTGTGGCTTGGTGGGCGTGGCTTGGTGGGCGTGGCAGGGGAAGGATACTGCAAAATCTCCATTCCCATCCCACTCCAGGGGAAGGATAATGCAAAATCCCCATTCCCACCCAACTCTGGGGTCAAACAGAGGTGGTATTTGCCGGTTCTCCAAACTGCTCAAAATTTCCGCTACCGGTTCTCCAGAACCTGTCAGAACCTGCTGGATTTCACCCCTGCTTGGAAGGCACCTCAGAAGTCTTCTAGTCCAGGGGTCTCCAAATTTGGCAACTTTAAGCCTGGCAGAAGTCCACCAGGCTTAAAGTTGCCAAGGTTGGAGACCCCTGTTCTAATCCAACCACCTGCTCGAGCAGGAGAGACCCATGATGAGCAGGCTCCATAACAGTTGTAACTCGAGGACTGTATTCCATTGATCTGCTCCTCCACCTTTCTTTCAGCAGTGTATTTTCTTTCGGCAGCAACAATAGAAATAGTGACTAGAGACCACACAGTAAAGATTTCAATACTGCAGCTGTTTCCCTGCTGCGGCCAGAAAAGCCTTTAGGAGAACTAGGAAGTTTTATAAACAACAGCTGTTTTTTCTACGTGTGCTACTTTTGGCAGTTGCGTTGCTTATAATTTGACTCCCCCTGCCCCCCAGCCCTTTTGGCAGTCAATAAGAACTAGAAGCTTTGATTGTAGTAATAAACAAAGCTAAATAGTTCAGATAACTGACTTTTGTGTCCTGTAAATAATGAGGCGATGTTTACATCGTTTGCATAACTGGTTTTGTTCTGCACTGTTTGGTCTTATTATTCTAGCCTTGGGAGTGATAATTCCCAGTCCACTCAGGTTTCTGAGGTCCTGCTTCATAAACATTTTTTCCAGGCATATGCTCCAAAGTAGTGAGTTGATTTTAAAAACAGAGGAGTACATTTCTGGGCAACATAAGACCCAGCAAAATCTACCGTATTTTTCAGAGTATAACACACTCTGGACTATAAGACGCACCTGTCTTTTTTGGTGAGGAAAACAAGAAAAAGAAATCTGCCTCTGCCTCCCAGCAATTTTGCCTTGCTGCAGCAAACAGCCTGCTTTACTTTCATTTCCATTTTCAGCATAGCTTGATTAGCACAAGAAGAAAAAAAAATCTGGTCCCAGCAATTTACCTCCTTGCAGCAAGCAGCAGAGGCCCGCGTAAAACAGCTGAGAGTTGGGAGGCCGATCCATGGGACAATCAACTTGTGCTAATTAGGCTGTGCTGAAGCTGAAATGGGCTGTTTCTTCTTGCTGCTTGCTGCAAGGAGGTAAATTGCTGGGAGGCAGAGGCCAAAGGGTGGGGGGCAGTGAGTGGGCAGGGCTAAATTCGATGGATAAGACACACCTAAATTTTCACCCCCTTTTAGGGGGGAGAAAGGTGCGTCTTATACTCCGAAAAATACGGTAATTTATAATTTACAGAAACTGTAAACGCCTTTCACTTTTATGGCTCTTTTTTTCTGTTTTTCCTCCTCCTCCTCCTCCTCCTCCTCTTCTGTTGATCAGAATTTTCCCTGCTTAACATGTCCTCCCCGCAATATTGCCTCCCTTTGGCTGAATCCTCTCTGTCACTACTGACAGAGAGTCTGGCTAGATGACAACGCCTGGCTAGGTGGCTCAGTAGCTAAGACGCTGAGCTTGTCGATCCAGAAAGATCGGCAGTTTGGCGGTTCAAATCCCTAGTATAGGTCTCCTGCGTGAGCAGGGGGTTGGACTAGAGGACCTTCAAGGTCCCTTCCAACTCTGTTATTGTTACTACTTGTCTGGAAACCCCTCCAGATTGGATCACTCTGGATTTCTGCCCTATAGTCTGACAGACCTCTCTAAACCTACCCAAGAGAACTCTATGATGTTGACATGGGACCAAAAAATACAACCCTTCCAGGTCTGGCATCTTCCAGATCTGTGGACTTCAATTCCCAGAATTCCCCAGCCAACCTGGCCTTTGATGAGAATTCTGGGGGTTGAAGTCCACACATCTGGGAAGCACCAAGGTTGGGAAAGGTGTGCTACCCTATCCCTGGGAAATGACTGCCGATTGCAGAATGGCTAAATAATCTGCGTAATCTCAGAGGAGACTATTTCTCCAGCTAGAAAATGAGATAATTGCATTATTTAAAGAAGGAGATGGGGGAACCCCCAGTGGTTTCAATATTTGCCCCCACCACAGATTGCAAGTTTAAAAGATCCCTGTTTTCTAAAACCCTCAAGAGCGTTGTTAAGTGGATTTCAGTGCTTCTCAGCCTTGCCAACTTCCAGAGGTGTGGACTTCAACTTCCAGAATCCCCCAGCCAGCTCTGCTCTGCTAGCTGGGGAATTCTGGGAGTTGAAGTCCACACCTCTGAAAGTTGCCTAGGTTGAGAACCACTGAGATGGAGGATGACCACATTATTACTATAGCAAGCACAGTATTTCCTGCAGGTATTTGGAAGGATTGTGAATGGTACCATTGAGTTCCTTATAGCGTTCCTTCCTGGCCAGGAGGACAAATGCCATGGTCAGATTGGAAGGCAGCTGATCAGATAACATTCCAAACTCATCCTTGAAGCTTATAGGTCGTCTGAATGCATCCTAGCAAACCAGACAAGCCTGGTTATTTTGTATACAAACTTCCCTGGCAGGTGGCCAGCTCCTCACAGGCTTATGATGCTGCTAGCCGCTTATTCCATCCAACAACGAGGACGATTGCGCAGTCAGGATTAAACTAGCCAGTGACGCTGTTCCTATGCTTAGTATTGAACTGGCCTGCCGGTTTCTTTTTCTACCTTTGCTGATGTGAAAAAGAGATAAGAAGAGGGGTGAGACCATTTAAGCCCGTGGGAAGGAAAGCTGGTGCATTTTATAATCCTAATCTTCCCTTTGGTGTGGGAAGGATTCAGGGGTATTGCCAAAGAGGCTCTTGCAGTGTCCTCAATCATCACACAACCTCGGGTAACCGATCTGATTTTCCTCTGGCCAGGCTGCAAACTTTTTTTGCAACTCTAGAACGTTTGAAAGGGGACTGTTTTCTCATTCACTGATTCTTGAGCCTCAACTGCCTCTTACCGCTGAAATCTGGTGTTACTTAAGCAGCCTTTACCCAGTCTTAATTCTTCTAAGCCGTTTGACAATCCCGGTGGAAAAACAAATAAACAACTTCCATGGAAACCAAAGCATGTGATTCCCCTGTTTTCTCAGCCAGAGCAATCAGGCTGAAAGATAACGACTTGTGCCCATCCCGTCACAAAGAGAGGGCCAAGGGCGAATGGGGATCGGGATCCAGATCTCCCCTCATCCCAGCTCAACCCTTCCAGGTCTGACATCTTCCAGATCTGTGGACTTCAATTCCCAGAATTCCCCAGCCAACTTGGCCTTTGATGAGAATTCTGGGGGTGGAAGTCCACACATCTGGGAAGCACCAAGGTTAGGAAAGGTGTGCTACCCTATCCCTGGGAAATGAGCGCAGATTGCAGGATGGCTAAATCAGCATTGCAGCTGCAATGGACTATACAAGAGGTGAGCAAATTATTCTGGATGGGCGAACGTATCAGTCATCATCGTAATCAAAAGGCTACAGATCCTCCTTGCAGCAACTCCTATTGGGATCATAGCCAACGAGGGCTAAACTAGCAAATTGCAGGAAGGTTAAATGACTTCATCTTTTTGCTTTTTAGATTCCAAAATGCCAAGCCAGGAGTCTTTCGGGAGTTACCAGGATGAGACTAAAACAGGACAAGGTAAGTAGATGTGGGGATTTGTAGAATCACAGGTGGGAACATTTTGGGTGGGGGGAAATACATATTTTTGAACCATGAAATGTATTTAACTGAAGTGATTTTTTTCCAGGCTAAAGCTTGTTCCCCAGCTTTAGTTTAATCCCCAGTTGATGTAATCTAAAGGGTGATGGGGATGACACTTTAGAAGGTTGAAAAACTTGATTTTGTTCGGAAGATATGCTTTTACCAGCCTTGGTATTTCCTCCCTGGACCTAAGATTGGCAGACTTTGTTGGCAAACTTTTATCTACTGTAATCAATAACAAGGAATCCTTTGTGCCCTGTCTCATTTTATATGAGTCACTCACCCATCTCCCAAAGTGGTTGATATCTCATTGAAAGGTGTGTGTGCGTATCCGTTCCTCACATAAGCTCCCATTTGTGGACCAGAGCTATGGACTCATAGAATCATAGGGCTGAAAGGGACCTTGGAGGTCTTCTAGCCCAACCCCCAACTCAAAGTAGGACCTTTATACCATCCCAATCGCAATGGTTGTTTTTGAAAATCTCCAGCAATGGCTCACTTACAAGTCCAGGAGAAAAACTATTCCATTGATTAATTAATTGTTCTCACTGTCAAAAAAATTCTCCTTACTTCTAGGATGGATCCCTCCTTAACAAGCTTCCACCCATTTCTTCTTGTCCTGTCCTCTGGAGCTTTGGAGGATATGTCAGTCCCCCTCTTCCATGTGACAGTTCCTCAAATATCATAAGACAATTATCATGTTCCCCCCTAATCCTTCTCTTGAATAGGCTAGGTTAGACACACCTAGCTCCCTCAACTATGTCTCCAGCTATCTCAAGATGCCTGTTCCTGGCTTTTCCTGAGTTCAGGAGGGAAATAGATAGTAGGGAGAGTTGGTTATGCATCCCTGGAGGGGGTGGGTAGGATAGGGAAGACTGAGTGAGAGTAAGTGAGCTATTACAATTAATGAAGAATCTTCATTTACACAAAGCCAATGATGGTTTTGCTGTGGGCAGATTACGGGTGAAATGCTCCTGGTTTGGACTGGATCGCCCGATCTGGTAGCGATGGAGGCAGGTGGTTCGGAAAAATCCCTACTCCCCCCCCCATTTGCCCAGCTGAACTGCGCAATCATCAGAGGCTTTTTTTTTTTATTTTTAAAAGCATTTTTTCTACAACCTCTTTGGCCAAAAAAATGCTTTTAAAAGTAAAAAAAAAAGCCTCTGATAATCATGCGGCTCAGCTGGGATCGTCAGAGGCTTTAAAAGCATTTTTTTTACAACCTCTTCAGCCCAAGAGGTTGTAGAAAAAATGGTTTTAAAAGTAAAAAAAAAAAAAAGTTGGCCACGCCCACTCAGTCATATTACACCCCCACCCCCACCAAGCCATGCCTACAGAACCGGTAGTAACAAATTTTACATTTCCATTGGGGCAGATCCTCGCTCAATTGGACCATAAAGGGCACACGGTGTTTGAGGCCTCCTGAACTCACAGCATACACACAGGGAGGATTGGGGTGACATTGAGATCCCAAATATTAAAGGTCTTGTGATCCCTGAACTCCCCACTGAGCGAAACCGTCATCAACAGGCACATAGACGTAAACAACTTCCACATACCATTCAAAAGAGACAATCAAAAAGCCAAATAGGAAACGAAAAGACCAAAACACCTCCTCATCAGCAATCAACACACAGGTGAGCAGAGATGAACCCCAGGATTAGAATTACAATCAAGAAGCAAAAAAATGCCCAATCAAGGAACTACCAAACAAGCTAACAGCAGCCCAACCAAGGAACCATCAAGGCCAGGAGTGAAATGCTACTGGTTTGGACCGGTTCGCCCGAACCGGTAGTAATAAATGCTACTGGTTCAGGTGAACCGGTAGTAAAAAAAATGCTACTGGTTCGGGCAAACAGGTATTACCAACGATGCTTTCTAGCGAATCTAAATTGCACGGCACAGCTGTTCTCCCCCCTTTCTGTTCTACTTACCTTTGAAGACTCAGAAAAGGCTTCTTAATCGTCCTTTGTCAGCTCTGCGCGGTAGCGCCTGCTGTGTGCCTGTGTGCAAAGCACACATTTGGCGCGCACTGTGCATGTGCGTGTGAAGAGAACCGGCAGCAGAGCATTTCACCCCTGATCAAGACCATTCCTACCAACACTGACACGACAAGCCACTAGTATATAATTGAGAGCAAACCCCACCCTCTGCTAACACTGATGATGTTGCCTAGTATGGTAATTAAACATCTGCAAAAAAATACCCAAGCTTAGAGAGCACCGAGGACACTTCACTTTAATCCTGAGACAGAAATATCCTCTTCCACGCTGGAAGACCCTGTGTGAAGATCACTTAGAGGCTTTTTTTTTTTCTCGGCATCCTTTCAGTGAGACTCCCATTGTTGCAAGGGATTCTTCACCTTTTGAAGATCCACTCCCCGCCCCCTCCTTTGAGATTCTGGTGAACCTCTGTAGATCCCTCCTCAGAAAAGTAGTTTCCAATGCATAACTGAACTTCACTGACACAGATTGTATTGCAAAGGCAATTGATTCTATTTGGGCTCGGAGTCGGTGATCAAGATATTAACAACTTGTGTGGATATTTAGTTTGAAGTACAAATGGTGCTGCTGACCATTGGCAAGGAGAAAATGGCACAGATAGTCCTCGACGTGCAACCACAATTGGGACTAGTATTTTCTTGTCCTTTTCTTCCAGATTTTACCTGGGTGGTTAAGGCTAACAACCGGGCTTATCATGCACAAATTCGAAAGAGGCATCTCTGGTGTTTGAAGAAGAGAAAATATGCAGTAAGTCTTATTGAAGGCCATGGGAGAGAAGGAGGAATAAAAATGTTAGGGATTTCAAACCTTCTTTATATTCTGCTTCAGAGAGAGAGAGAGAGAGAGAGAGAGGGAGGGAGGGAGGGAGGGAGGGAGGGAGGGAGGGAGAGAGAGAGAGAGAGAGAGAGGGAGAGAGAGAGAGAGAGAGAGAGAGAGGGAGGAGAGAGAGAGAGAGAGAGAGATTGTCTGTGTTTGTGTTTTAAATTTAGTGAGCCTCCCAGAAGCTAACTAGTGTCTTTCCTTTCCTTTCCTTTCCTTTCCTTTCCTTTCCTTTCCTTTCCTTTCCTTTCCTTTCCTTCCCCTTCCCTTCCCTTCCCTTCCCTTCACCTTCCTTCCTTTCCTTCCTTCCCTCCCTCCTTCCCTTTTCACATTTCTAAACCTTTTTGCTGTTTTCTGCTGGGGAAAAAAAGGCAAACGTCACAAATCTCAGTTTTGGACTTGCCCAGAATACTTCCCTACGTGTATTATATTCCATTCTTCACACTTCACTTCACAAAGTGGATTTTGATTTATGAAAATGTATACGTGATTATAAATTAGTTAGCTCAAGTTTCATGTGAATCTTTGCTGGTTTATTGTTCACAGGGCAATGCCATTAAGACGGCTAAGTACAACTTTTTCACTTTTCTCCCTCTCAACTTGTATGAACAATTTCACCGGATGGCCAACGTATACTTCTTGTTCATAATTCTTTTGCAGGTAAGAGGAATCTTTATTCCATTCTCAATCAGCAGCAAAATTAGGACCTTTCCACTTTTTAAAATAGAGATACGTACATAACCTGTTCTGAGGCACCAAAAGCTGTCAACTCTCTAAAGAGATTCTATTCCCAGTCCATTTTTTTTAAAAAAAATATGGCATCCTTTGGGGTGGGGCAAAAGAATCAAGCTTCTTGTCCTTCCAGATTTCTACTGAGGGCTAAATTGCCTTTTACCTGACATTCCCTTGGGGGCATCTATTTGCTCTGTCTTTCAAGGTCATTTTTCGCCTAACATTACAGAAGCTTCAATCTCATGGCCAAACTTCCCATCCTGACTTTTTTGGATTCACTTTCCAGAATAGGGGTCTCCAACCTTGGCAACTTTAAGCCTGGCAGACTTCAACTCCCAGAATTCCCCAGCCAGCTTTGCCTTGGAGCTGACCTTGGAAACTTTGCTGGCTGGGGAATTCTGGGAGTTGAAGTCCGCCAGGCTTAAAGTTTAGTTTAGTTTAGTTTAGTTTAGTTTAGTTTAGTTTAGTTTAGTTTAGTTTTATTAAATTTCTATACCGCCCTTCTCCCGAGGGACTCAGGGCGGTGTACAGCCACATTAAAACACATGAATTTATAAAATTTAAAACCAATTAAAATCAGATTTATAAAATTTGGCCATCAATTTAAAACACACATACACCCATTTAAAATTCATATTGGCCAGTCCGGCTTGCTGAAACAGAAGGGTCTTAAGGGCGCGGCGAAAAGTGCGCAGGCCGGGGCTAAGACGAAGGTCTAGGGGCAGCTCATTCCAAAGGGCTGGTGCCCCCACAGAGAAGGCTCTCCCCCTGGGTGTCATTTGTTTGGCTGACTGCACCCTGAGGAGCCCCTCTCTGTGGGAGCGTATTGGCCGGTGGGAGGTTGTTGCTGGCAGAAGGCTGTCTCGTATATACCCCGGTCCTAAGCCATGGAGCACTTTAAAGGTGGTAACCAACACCTTGAATCACACTCGGAAGACCAATGGGAGCCAGTGCAGCTCACGCAGGAGGGGTGTTAGATTGGAAGCTTTCAGATTCGGGTTTTCCCAGATGTGCCAATATGACATCTCTAATAAAATTGAATTTTGAGGAAACTCAAGCCTTGGAGTTTTCTTTCATTGGGGGTGTTACTTGGAACCCTGACATTAACCCAAATCTGAAAGCTTCCAGGTTTCCCCCACCCAAAGGAAAATCCAAGTCCCTGCCCAGCACCTACATGTCCATCACAAGACCCAATCAAAGCACCATCTGCACTGGAGATGCCTCCCTGACACCTTGGGGAGGTGTCTGCTTTGCCTAATTGTCTTGTCCTGCTTGTACAACAAGAATACAGGTAGTCCTCGATTTACGACCTCAACTGAGCCCAATATTTCTGTGTCTAAGAAAAACAGTTTTTAAGTGCATTTTTGCCCCATTTTATGACCTTTCTTGCCATAGTTGTTAAGCGAATCAGTGAAATTATTAAGTTATTTATTTATTATTCAAACTTCTATACCGCCCTTCTCCTTTCGGACTCAGGGCGGTGAACAGCCAAAATAAAAAACATTTATACATAAAGTTAGAAATAGATATAAAATAATTAAATAAATTTGGCCCGTAATTTTAAACTTATCAATTAAAAATCCGTATCAAATTTTAAAACCAAGTTAGTAACAAGATTGTCAAATGAATCTGTTTTTTTCCCCCCTTGACTTTGCTTGTCGGAAGGTTGCAAAAGGTGATCCCAGGACCTCCCCGGGACACTGCAGTCATCATAAATATGTGTCAGTCAGTTGACAAGTTTCTGAATGTTGATCACATGACCATGGGGATGCGGCAATGGTCGTAAGCATGAAAAACGGTCATAAAATAAGTTATTTTTTTCCCCCAATGCTGTTGTAACTTTGAACGGTCGCTAAGACGAACTCTTGTGTATGTGCCCTGTTTTGATTCTGCTTTCCCCAAATGGAAGGAATGCAGGAATGTTCCTGCTGAAGATATTAATGCAAAGTTCTCCCTCCTTTGTAATAAGAAAAGTTTCCCTTTTGCCTTCTATTACAGACCTTCCCACAAATCTCCACACTGCCTTGGTTTGCACTTCTCTTTCCCCTCGGTATCTTGCTCTCCATCAGAGGCATCCGTGATTTAATTGATGATGTCGTAAGTATTGGAACAAATATTGGAACACTGCTATTACGTCACCCCTAGTCCTTCTTTTCATTAAACTACTAGACATACCCAGTTCCTGCAGCCCTTCTTCATATGTTTTAGTTAGCTTAACACAGGTTAAGTCAAATTTTAATTTGACTTATTTTCTATGTTCAGGCTCACCGCAGATTGGAACGTAGGACAACTTTTATCCTATGGTTGTATGGCTTGATTAGATAGCTTCTAATATTCTTAAACTGAAAAGATAATTTACAGAAGGATGGCTGGATATTGTCTCCTTGATAAGAAAAAGTTTCTTAGTGTCAGCAGGCATTTAATTATCTAACTTCAAGCAAGTTTTGTGGTTGATTTATTGTGCAAAGGAGGGATTACCCTTATCTTGTCCAACCAACTTTCCTCTTTCATTTTTTTTTTTTTTAAAATTTGATTTATATGCCGCCCTTCTCCGGAGACTCAGGGTGGCTTACAATGTGCTCAGCAATAGCCTTCATCCTTTTGTATATTTATACAAAGTCAGCTTATTGCCCCCACAACTGGGTCCTCAATTTACCTACCTTAGAAAGGATGGAAGGCTGAGTCAACCTTGAGCCTTGGTGAGATTCGAACCTGCAGTACTTGCAGGCAGCTGGTCTTAATAACAGCTTAATAACAGGGTGCCTTAGACCACTGTACTACCAAGGTTCTTTGTTTTGTGAACTATAAAAAGGAATGTAAGATGGGTCTCGAGGTTCTCCTCCTTCATAGGGAGATCCGACTTTATCAGGGTACTCTAATAAACTGCTTTTCAGTGATCTTCCGACTCAGTTGCTTATTAGGAAGATAAACAGAGATAGCTCATCTGTCTGGAACCCGCACTGCATATCGGACATTAATACAATTGAGAGCGTCCAGAGATATTTCATGAGAAGAGTCCTCCACTCCTCTACTCACAACAAGAGCCTGATGGCGCAGTGGACTAAGGGCTGTTAAAGTAGCACTTAGTTGCCAGCTGCCTGCAATTACTGCAAGTTCAAATCTCACCAAGCTCAAGGTTGACTCAGCCTTCCATCCTTCCGAGGTAGGTAAAATGAGGACCCGGATTGTGGGGGCAATAAGCTGACTTTGTATTAAAAGAACACCGCTTAGGGGGGCCCGAAAGCCCTACTAAGCAGGTATATACAAAAGTATAAAGGCTATTGCTTTGTAAGCTGCCCTGAGTCTCCGGAGAAGGGCGGCATATAAATCGAACTAATAAATAATAAATAAATAAACAGAATACCTTATGCCACCAGGCTTGAAATTTTGAGCTTAGACAACCTAGAACTACGCCGCCTTCGGTCTGACCTAAGCGTAGTACATAAAATTATCTGCCACAATGTCCTACCTGTCAATGACTACTTCAGCTTCAACCACAACAATACACGAGCACACAATAGATACAAACTTAAGGTAAACTGCTCCAAACTCAATTGTAGAAAATACAACTTCAGTAACAGAGTGGTCAATGCCTGGAATGCACTACCTGACTCTGTGGCTTCTTCCCCAAACCCCCAAAACTTTAACCTTAAATGGTCTACTGTTGACCTCACCCCATTCCTAAGAGGTCTGTAAGGGGTGTGCATAAGCGCACCAGTGTGACTACTGTCCCTGTCCTAATGTTCCATTTTATTCATATGCATGTATTCATAATCATGTTTATACTTATATCTGTTATCTAATACATGCTTGACAAAATAAATAAATAAATAAACAAACAAACAAACAAACAAATAAATAAAAAATAAAGATTTGGCTATCACTGTCTCCTAGGTTTAAAGAAGGTAAGCCTAGGGCAGGGGTCAGCAACCCGCGGCTCTGGAGCTGCATGTGGCTCTTTCATCCCTCTGCTGCGGCTCCTTGTTACTGGTCGGTTCCACAATTGATAGGGCTTTCGGTTAGGACAGGTAGAGGAAAAAGGATGCCATGCTAGGAGGAGACTCTATGGTAGGGGAACCGGACTTTTAATCAGCAGAGGAAAAAGGACGCCATGTTAGGAAGAGACTCAATGGTGAGACTTCCGGTTGGCTCCAGAATTGAATGGGGAGCTTCCGGTTAGGACCTTTGTGGCTCTTTGAATGTTTAAGGTTGCCAACCCCTGGCCTAGGGCAAGAAAAGAGCAAAGAAAACCAAGCAGGGGGCTTCATAGTTTTATCCTTGCTCAACTGGAGCAAGTTATATATATTGTTAAAATATATTAAAATATAACAGTTAAAATATAGCAGTTAACTCTATGCTATTTATGCCCTGGGATTCTCGGGTTGACCAAAGCTAAATGAACCACATCTTACAGGATTATCTTCATCCAGAAAAGGCAAAAGAAGTTCATATACCGCTTCATAGCATTGCAAAAGTCAATTTCCTGTATGCATGCTGTGTATAAACTTTTCATGATTTGATGGAAATATTTCACATTCCACATTTAATATTTCACATTCCATGTTTAATATTTCGCATTCGCATTCGCATTTAATATTCGCATTGGTGGAATATGAGATGAGAGTTTCTGGTCAGAGGACTGGCAATTTTTGAACTTGGATTAAAGCAGCGTTTCTCAAACTTGGCATGATTTCTTGGAGCTGAAGTCTACCTATCTGCCAAGTTTGACCAACCCTGGATTAGATGAAGTTCTGGATGAACAGAAGCTCAGTGTCCCAATGCATTTCATTCATTCTTTTTTGCTTCGCAGGCACGACACCGAAGTGATGGGGAAATCAACAACCGACCTTGTGAGATCTTGAGAGGTGGAAGGTAAGCCAACCTGAAAAATGCTTTCAGAAACATGTTAACCTCCTTTGAGAAGCACTATCCTTTTAAGTAAGAGCATAAAGTCGGAGAACAGGGGATAACGAATACTTTTTGAATACTTATAGTCTTCCTGGAAGTTATTCATAGTAATGGGCTTCCTGGAATGAGATAGCAAGTCATGGGCAAATACAGAGACCTTCAAGGCATTGCCAAAAGATCCATATTAGAATAAGTAGCGATGGCTGAATTCTGAAAAAATTGGGATGTGATCTTCTACCTGACTGGCGATTGACGGGAATCACCCAAAGAAGATAGCAATAGCACTTAGACATCCCAAAGGTGCTTTTTTCAAGAGGCAACTGGACTTTCTGGTTTTTCTTTGAAGACGTTTCGCTTCTCATCCAAGAAGCTTCTTGGATGAGAAGCGAAACATCTTCAAAAAAAAACCCCAGAAAGTCCAGTTGCCTCTTGAAAAAAAACACCCTTGGGACAACCATGATCCGGATGACTGAGAATCTCCATAGACAATAGGCTTATATACCGCTTCATAATGCTTTACAGCACTCTCTAAGCCAGTGGTTCTCAACCTGTGGGTCGTGACCCTTTGGGGGTCGAATGACCCTTTCACAGGGGTCGCCTAAGACCATAGGAAAACACATATTTTCAATGGTCTTAGGAATAATTTTATGGTTGGGGGTCACCACAAGATGAGGAACTGTATTAAAGGGTCGCGGCATTAGGAAGGTTGAGAACCACTGCTCTAAGCGGTTTACAGAGTCAGAATATTGTCCCTAACAATCTGGCCCCTCATTTTAATGACCTCGGGAGGATGGAAGGCTGAGTCAACCTTGAGCCGGTCAGGATCGACCTCCTGGCAGTGAGCAGAGTTAGCCTGCAATACTTCATTCTAACCACTGCACCACCAGGGCTCATAAAGTAGATTGGATTGATTGACTTGATCATTATTACTTCTTCCAATGGCACTGAATCATCAGGCAGCAAACGCCCAAGCAAACCACATGAAACAGGTAGAGTGGAGATCTGTGGGCCTTTATCTCCCACAATATCACATTTCATGCTCAAAATGCTTGCTTGCAAAAATGAACTCGAATGTTGACATCTTCCTACAGTGTCTAGAGGTGTGTCCAAAGAACATCTGTGACTTCGCTTATTTACAACTATAGTAGGGAAAGCTGACATGAGGGCAACTTGGAGTGAATTTCTTCAGAGGAGGGAAACATTCTCCAACAACTCTTTTAAAACTTTTCCCAGTTTTAAAACTTTATTAAATTATACCAGAGGTGGGTTTCAGCAGGTTCTGACCAGTTCTGGAGAACCAGTAGCGGAAATTTTGAGTAGTTTGGAGAACCGGTAGTAAAAATTCTGACTGGCCCCGCCCCCATCTATTCTCTGCCTCCCAAGTCCCAGCTGATCAGGAGGAAATGGGGATTTTGCACTAACCTTCCCCTGGAGTGGGATGGGAATGGAGATTTTACAGTATTCTTCCCCTGCCATGAAGAAGCTTCTCATCCAAGAAGCTTCTTCAGCTCTGACAGGATAGTGGGGAATGGAAGGATTTATATTCCTTGCAGAAAGCTGGTCATTCATTCCTCAATTTCATTGAGGGCTGCATCAGGGTTCTGTTTGACCTTGGGGCGGGGGATGACAGAGTGGGCGTGGCCAGGGTGGGCATGGCCAGCTCAACATCAGTTGGGGGCGCCTGTGGCGGCCTCAGCACTCTGCCAGCAAAAATGGGCTCCCAAGCTCAGTTTTCAGCTGCAACAGCCTCCTGCAACCCTCTGCCAGAAAAAATGGAGCTTGGTAGGGCCACACGCAGCCCTCCCAAGCTCCGTTTTCACTGGCAGAGGCACCATAGGCTGGTCCTTCGCTGTTTCCAGGGCAACCCCACAGGCCAGATCTAAGCATCAGATCCATCCCCCGGGCCTTGAGTTTGACACCACTGTTTTATTGGGTCGTTGAAGCTCTTGGAGGTTTATCTGTGTCCTCAGGGTCATCTGAGTAGTGCTCCTGTAGTCTGCAGTTTGGTTCCTGTAATCCTCTATTTCCAGAGGAAAAATTGCAGACTACAGGAACCAGGAGCACCACTCAGGTGACCCTGAGGGCACAGATTAACCTCCAAGTGGCCTCAAGGACTCTCTAAAAGGATGCAAATGACCAGCTGTCGGCAAGGAATAAAAATCCTTCCATTCCCCACTATCCTAGAATAGATATAGAAATCATGTTAAAGTGAAAACCATATATATTTATGAATATGATAAAGGATGTTAAAGATTAAAGGGATTGTGTAAATTTATTTAATACATAAAGAATTTACAAAACATATACTAAAGGTGAACAATTGTATAACATAGCAAAAGGTTTCATGTATTTAGATGTATAAATACAAAAATTACATAAATGTATAGTACAATAGGCCGTAAATGGAAAATATGTAATTAGAACTGATACTGATAACTGAATGCTGTAAAAGTGGAAATGTGATTTTAAAACTAAAAAAGGTTGAATAAAGATTATTTTCAAAAAAACAAAAACAAAGAAAAAACAAAACAAGAGCCTTGATAGTACAGTGGTTTAGTGCACCCTGTTATTAACACAGCTGCCTGCAATTTCTGCTGGTTCGAATCTCTCCAAGGCTCAAGGTTGACTCAGCCTTCCATCATTTCTAAGGTAGGTGAAATGAGGACCCAGTTGTGGGGTCAATAAGCTGACTTTGTATAAAATATACAAAAGAATGAAGGCTATTGCTTAACGCATTGTAAGCCGCCCTGAGTCTCCGGAGAAGGGCGGCATATAAATCAAATTAAATAATAATAATAATAATAATAATAATAATAATAATAATAATAATAATAATAATAAAAAAAAAAAAGACAGTCCAGTTGCCTCCTGAAAAGGCACCTTTGGGACAACCATGACCTGGATGAACTGAGAATCTCTAGAGACTTTTTGCGATCTTCTGCTTTCTAGCCTGGTGATTTAACCACTAGACCAAACTTTTCTTACCTATTATCTTTCCCATATTCCCAGTTTCTGCAAAATGAAATGGTGCAATATACAAGTGGGCGATATCATTTGCCTCCAGAAAGATAGCTTTGTTCCGGTAAGTATTTGTCTTTTCCTGTCTTAATCAAGGCTGCCCCCTTAAAATTTTAAGTTCTCAAGAGACAAAATCATGGTTGAGCTTCTATCAGGACCGTTTTGCTTTTCCAGCAAGTTGCCAAGGTTGAAATGGAAGACCATGATTAGAGGCGGGCGCCAAATTTCCTTGATGTACTGAACAAACAAAAATTGTTTTGGTGAGATTATTTCAAGAGTGGTTAAAAATATTGAGATCCTAAAAGAATCTGCTGCCACTTCTAATTGCGGCAGCTCCATTTCGGTTCAAACTTTTGTGTTTGCAAATCTCCATCTTTAGATTGGATCCAGGGGTTGGAAGGGAATGTCTTTTGTCATATAGAGGCTTGTGTGAAATTGCTGGTGGAAAAGGGCAGGTTTTAACTTGCTTCCCATCATCTGTTTGCACAGTGATGGTTGTTTTATGTATAACTGGACCTGAAATCATGAAATCCATCCAGGGTTGCAGTCTAGACGGTTACAATCTACTTTTTAAAAAATCTTTTTTTTTAAAAAAAAAAACCTTTCCCAAAGAAGGCAATGGAAAACAAATAAAATATTTTATTTATTTATTTGATTTTTGTTCTGCCTGTTATTTTATTAGTCGTTCACAGTGAATAAATACATACTGTAATATTCCTTCCTCCTCCTATTTTCCCCCTATCAAGAGTATGAGGTGGATTGGGCTAAGAGAGAGGGACCGCCCCAATGTCATGCAGCTGGCTTTCATGCCTAAAGTGGGACTAGAACCCCCTGGCTCCTCGTATTTGGCCCAAAGTCACCTAGTCACTTTTCATGCCTAAAACGGGACTACAAGTCATAGTCTTCCAGTTTCTATGCCAGCATCTTATCCAGGGGTGAAATCCAGCAGGTTCTGACAAGTTCTGGAGAACCGGTAGCGGAAATTTTGAGCAGTTTGGAGAACCGGCAAATACCACCTCTGGCTGGCCCCCGAGTGGGCTGGGAATGGAGATTTTGCAATATCCTTTCCCCAGGAGTGGGGAAGGAATGGGGATTTTGGAGTATCCTTCCCCTGCCACGCCCACCAACCCACGCCCACCAACCCATGCCCACCAAGCCACACCACACCCACTAAGCCACGCCCACAGAACTGATAGTAATAAAAGTTTGGATTTCACCACTGATCTTATCCATTGTACCAAAGTGGCTTTCGTATTTCAGTCTGAATTTGCCTAATTTTTCATTTTTTTACCAATACATGAACCATAATTTTGGAATCATTTAACATTCTCACTTTTCTGAATTTCACCGTTCTGCAATTCACCCTTGTTTAAAAAAGTATAGTAGAAAAAAAAAACGATATGAACACCATGTATTTATTTATTTATATAGTTTATAGGCCGCCCATCTGACCTCAAGGTAACTCACACCAACATATTACATGCATTAGGGGAAGTGGTTTCTTAAAACTGCATTATGCAAAATGACAAACTAAAGTCTCTGACTTTGGAGAACTGTGGACAATTGAACTGATGGTATAGAGATAGTCCTCGACTTACAATCACAATTGAGACTGGCATTTCCATCGTAAGTCGTTGCGGTTATAAGTTGAGTGAGACCTGATTTTATTACAAGTTCTACTTCAGTCATTAAGTGAATGATTGCAGTCATTAAATGAATCACGTGGTGGTTAAGGGCATGGAGAATCCATTTACATTGTCCAGTTGTCAAATTCCATGTTTAGGTAGTTCTCAACTTACATCCATAATGGAGTGGACAGCATCAGAACATTGGAACTAGGTCATAAGTACTTTGGGGATATCCGTCGTAACTTTAAGCAGTTGCTAAACAACCAGTTGTAAGTCGAGACTACCTGTACTAGCTGTATAATTTAAGAGAAGGTTTTTTTTAGCTTTATTAGCCATTATGCCTGTATAGAAAAGGATTGTCTACGACACCATTTTTATTGGAGATGTGATAAAGACAATGCTTCTTTAAAACATGTCTTTACAAAGTCTTATATTCACTAAGCTTTGACAGAAAGTAGTGGATAATGTAAATGTGACAAAAGCCAAAATTTTCAGATGATGGATTGGTAGTTGCTGGCTGTGTTTGGGTCTATCAACAAAGCTCTCTGCTTTTTTCCCAGGCTGATCTCCTCTTACTCTCCAGTTCAGAACCAAACAGCCTCTGCTATGTGGAGACCATGGACATAGATGGGTAATGTCTTTGCTTGTTGTTTTTAAATGAATAGAATAGAATAGAATAGAATAGAATAGAATAGAATAGAATAGAATAGAATAGAATAGAATAGAATAGAATAGAATAGAATCAGTGGTGGGTTTCAAAAATTTTTACTACCGGTTCTGTGGGTGTGGCTTGGTGGGCGTAGCATGACTTGGTGGGTGTGGCTTGGTGGGCGTGGCAGGGGAAGGATACTGTAAAATCTCCATTCCCACACCACTCCAGGGGAAGGTTACTGCAAAATCCCCATTTCCTCCCAATCAGCTGGGACTTGGGAGGCAGAGAATAGATGGGGGCAGGGCCAGTCAGAATTTTTACTACCGGTTCTCTGAACTACTCAAAATTTCCGATACCGGTTCTCCAGAATTGGTCAGAACCTGCTGAAACCCACCTCTGAATAGAATATAGAACAGAACACAGAATAGAATAGAATAGAACAGAACACAGAATAGAATAGAATAGAATAGAATAGAATAGAATAGAATAGAATAGAATAGAATAGAATAGAATAGAATAGAATAAAGTGTGATTGGACACACACAAGGAATTTATCTCTAGTGCATAAGCTCTCAGTATAAGCAATAAATGGTAAATCATGATCATAGTCATCGTAAAAAATACATTCATCATAAATCATAAGATACAACACTTAGTGATAGTCACAGGATACTAAATAAGCAATCAACATAAATCATACTAAGCAAACAATATAAATCATAAGATGCGAACAACAAAGTTAGGGTTTGATTACCTTGTCATTATACATAGAACACAAACCTTCTCAAAGACTGGCTGGGGAATTCTGGGAATTGAAGTCCATACATCTTGAAGTTCCTGAGGTTGAAAAACACAGATGTAGATTTTTTCACACATCAAAGGTGCTCTTGGATAGTGGGTAGAATAAGGGCAAAAAAAATTGATTTTGATACCAGTTAATCAACTTTTTAGTTAGTTATGATTTCAACTTGTTTCATTCCTGGGATAGGGAATAATTGAAGACAATGTAGGAAATAATTTTGGCAGGACTCATGCTCTGGTTAAATGCCAGTAGAGGAACACGTTCAATTAATTAATTTAAATAAATAAATTTGGATGAAATGGCTGATGGTTTATTTGTGCACAGGAATACAGGTAGTCCTTGACTTACAGCACAGTTGAGGCCAGAATTTCCATTGATACACATGGTGGTTGTTGAGTGAATCGTGCTTAATTTTATGACCTGTTTTGCCATGGTTGTTAAGTGAATCCCTCAGTCATTAAGCGACTCCAGCTCCCCCCCTTGACTTTCTTTCTCAGAAGCTGGCTGGGAAGGTCACAAATGACAATCCCATGGCCCAATGACACTACCACCATCATAAATGCATGCTGGTTGTCAAGTGGCCATACAGATAGTCCTCAACTTACAACAGTTCACTTAGTGACCATTCAAAGTTACAACAGCACTGAAAAAAGTGACTTATGACCATTTTTCACACTTATGACCGTTGCAGCATTCCCGTGGCCACATGATTTATGTTCGGATGCTTGACAATTAACTCACATTTATGATGTTTGCGCTGTCCCAGGGTCACGTGATCCCCTTTTGCGACCTTCTGACAAGCAAAGTCAACGGGGGAACCAGATTCACTTAACAACCAGGTTACTAATTTAACAACTGCAGTCATTCGCTTAACAAAATGTGGCAAGAAAAGTCGTAAAATGGGTCCAAATTCACTTAAACGGATTTCTCACTTAGCAAGATAAATTTTGGGCTCCATTGTGGTCGTAAGTTGAGGACTACCTGTATTTTCATCACATGACTGTGGGGATGTTGCATCGGTCAAAAGTGCGACGACTGGTTGTAAGTCAAGTTTCTCAGTGCCATTTGTAACTTTGGGCACCGAATAAACGGTTGCAAGTCAAGGACCGCTGTAGAAATCCAAAGAAAGCAGCACATATTCCCATCCCAGCGTTCACTTAAGAAATGTTCCCCATTAAATTTAAACTGAAACAATACAATACAATACTACAATACAAAAGCACCACTCATTTTCCAGTTTTTAAGCTGACTCTCGCTCTGCTTTCTTTCAGAGAGACTAACCTGAAATTCAGACAAGCTCTTCTGGTAACACATGAGCAGCTGACCTCCACGGAGAACTTAGCTGCCTTTGACGGTCAGTGTTTCCCCTAATCCTTCCTTTTCATTTTCAGAAATGGTGCCCTGGGATTGGTGGTTTCATTTATGATTAGCCCCTGGTTCTACTGGGGTTTTACACGATTGAAAGACTGCTGGGATTGAATTCTCTTCCCTTTGCTATTTAAGTTTTGACTTTATAAATGACTTTAGAGATACATTTCACGGAGGAAAGTGTGCTCGAAAATTAAAAAAAAAAATACACATATCAATCCTGGTTAAAATAAAGGCACCGTTTTAACACGAATGCTTAAATAGGTGCTGGGATTGCAGGAAAAAGAGGGCTTCTTTACAGAGGAGAAGCAGGTGAGCCAGGTTCTCATCTCCTCTTTCCAACCGTCCAGGTGAGGTGGTCTGCGAAGAGCCAAACAGCCGGTTACACAACTTTGTCGGTACCTTAGAATGGCACGGAGAGAAATACCCTCTTGATTGTGAGAAAATCCTGTTGCGTGGCTGTAGAGTACGTAACACAGAAGCCTGCTACGGCCTTGTTATTTATGCAGGTAAGTGAGCAAGATCAGGCTGGTTTTTAAAGGGTTGGAAGGGATCTCTGAAGTCATCTAGCCCAACCCTGCTGCACAAGGCAACATCTTGATGCAGCTCTTAACAGTGAAACTTTTGCAATTCAGTGCCCTTGTGGCAATGTGTCATTGCCATCTCTCGCCAGAAAAAAAAAAATCTGTCTGTCTGTCCGTCTGTCTGTTCATCCATCTATCCATCTGTCTATCCATCTGTCTATCCATCTGTCTATCCATCCATCCATCCATCCATCCATCCATCCATCCATCCATCCATCCATCCATCCATCCATCCATCTATCTATCTATCTATCTATCTATCTATCTATCTATCTATCTGTTGTGGCCTGCCAGTGGCCAGCAGAACTGGCAGCAGATTCGGACAGTGAGGAGGTTGGGGAGGAACGTGGGCCAGTCCTGGAGTCTGGGGAAGGCTTGGACAAGGGCTCTGAGTCACAGGCAGAGAGGGGGCCAAGGCCATCTGGTAGTTCTTTGCTGCCGCCGGAGTCTGACACCAGCGAGGCAGAAGAACAGTGGGAGCCTGTTCCCAGTGTGCACATCCGCAGAGCTGCCAGAAGACAGGAACAATTAAGAAAACAGGGTCAACTTGGGAGTAAGGCTTGGAGATGATTGGCCCCTCCCATAGACATGAGCTTTTGCAGGAAGCAATTAGTTCATCTGGTCGGTAAAAGTTTTGGGAAAGTTCTGTTTGACTAATTGCGTGTGGCAATTAGTTCTCTGGCAGTATTCCAAGGGAGATAAGGTGGGTGTTTGTAAACATTACCCTAAAAGACTGAGAAGCCTTTCAGACTGGGAATGACAATAATTCACAGCCGTATGAATAAGAGAGGTTTGCCGGGACTAAGATTGTGCTGTATAATTTCTAAGGAAGCCTAGGTCAGAAATCTATCTATCTATCTATCTATCTATCTATCTATCTATCTATCTATCACCCATCCATCCATCCATCCATCCATCCATCCATCTATGAACTTCATCTCCCTTCCTCCCTCCTCCCTCCCTCCCAAGGCAGAGTATTCATCATCCATTGATAAGTATTTCCTAAAGTTTTCCAAATCCTGCTTCTCTGTAAATGTCTGTCTTGCTGTCCAGAGAAACAAGAAACAAAATTGTTCTATCTTCTCTTCAGCAGCTGGTCAGAGACATCTGAAGGGAGAAAGACCACTGATCAGTGATGCCACAGAATCCTCTTTCCATTTTAATTGGAGATGGATTGACCAGCTTTGTTTATTTATTTTTTAAATTTGATTTATATGCCGCCCTTCTCCGGAGACCCAGGGTGGTTTACAGTGCGTTAAGCAGTAGCCTTCATACTTTTGTATATTTATACAAAGTCAGCTTATTGCCCCCACAAACTGGGTCCTCAATTTACCTACCTTAGAAAGGATGGAAGGCTGAGTCAACCTTGAGCCTGGCAAGATTCGAACTTACTTTAATTGCAGACAGCTGGTGTTAAATTACAGTGCTTAATCTGCAGAGCTATCCAGGCTTTATGACTCTAATTCAGGATTTTCCAAACTTGGGAACCTTACAGCATATGACTTCAACTCCCAGAACTCCCTAGTCAGTCATGCTGCCTGGGGAATTCTGGGAGTTGAAGTTCATGCAATTTAACATTTCCCAAGGTTGAGAAACCTTGCTCTAATCCTTTCTTCTCCAGTCTAGACTTCTCTGTAATCTTTTAACAAGCTCCAGTCTACTTCTTCCAAACAAAATTTTCTTTTGGATCACATGGCAGTCCACTTCTGTGGCGTATTTGTTCTTCTCTGCTCCTTTTTCTATATTTGCTTTAGTGGGACGTGTTAATGCAACTGACTGGACATACCAGTTCATCAGGGATGGGCTTCTGGGGGTTCGAGAGAACCTCTAGCTAAGATTCTGTGCAGTTCGGAGAACCCCCAAATCCCACTCCTGGCTGCCTCCACCCCACCCCGCCCCTCCCAGGAGTCCTCATGTGGCCCATTTTGGATGCAGATAAGTGTAGGGTGCGCATGGAGGCTCAGGGAGGGTGAAAAACAGGCCTACTGGAAGTTCAGGAAAGCTGGAAATGGGCCCGTTTCTGACCTCCAGAGGGCCCCCGGAGTCTGGGGAGGCTGTTTTCGCCATCCTGGAGGCTTGAGGAAAGCCTCCAGAGCCTGGGGAGGGCAAAAACACCCCCCCTCCCCATGGTGCAGGAGGCCGACTAGGCCACGCCAACCATGGCCATGCCCACCCAACAACCAGACAGAGAACCCCTTGCTAAAATTTTTGAAGTCCAGCTTTGCAGTTCATGCTATCTGGGCTCTGGATAATCTCAAATAGGATCTCTCTTGCTTCACTTTGAAACAGCTGCACCCATATCTGTGATGAGATGAGAGGCTTATGATCTGGTTTGAAATGGCTTAAGAGTTTTTAAATTAAAAACAGCTAGATAAGTAAAGGAACCTAACAACCCATCAGTCAAGATCGGTCAATAATGTGCCAGCTCCCAACATTATTTCATAATGGAAATTGGTGACAGCCTCTTTGTGCATATCCCCATCTGCCCTCAAACATCACCTTAAACGGAGGTGGCACAGAGCACTGAGTAGTAGCCAATCCAGTTCACACCTACTATGGGCATTTTGGTGACTGGTTTCTCCCACTGTGGCAGCTGTGTTTATTTTGTTTTAAATCCAACCATCTCAAATGTCTCATTTCCAGGTTTCGACACCAAAATCATGAAAAACTGTGGAAAGATCAAGTTAAAGAAAACGAAACTCTGCCATCTGATGGATCGTCTTGTGCTCTTGGTAAAAGCTCCCTGCTATTCAAGGTCTCCATGGCCAGGAGAAACAAGAGGGATAAGAAAAGGAGGTGGTACTACCTTGAGTAGGATGGGAATAGGAATAGGAATAGGAATAGGAATAGGAATAGGAATAGGAATAGGAACAGAACAGAACAGAACAGAACAGAACAGAACAGAACAGAACGGAATAACTTTATTGTCACTTTGAATGTACACTAACCGGCATACATTAAAATGAAATGAAAAAGCATGCAAAGGGGGTCAAAAACAGCAAGATGGCAGCAGCAAAGCCCCACCGCTTTATACAGGGGTGGGCTTCAGATCCTTTAGCAATGGGTTTGCTGCCCCGTTGCTGTGTGGGCATGGCCTAGTTGGCCACCTGCACCACGGCAGGGGGGAAGGGGCGTTTTTTGCCCTCCCCGGGCTCCAGGGGCTTTCCTCAAGCCTCCAGGAGGGTGAAAACTGCTTCCCCCAGGCTCCGGAAGCCCTCCGGAGGCCAGAAACAGGCCCGTTTCCAGACTTCTGGAACCTCCGGTAGACCTGTTTTTTGCCCTCCCAGACCCTCCATGCGGCCCCTGCACTTACCTGGAATGATGAACGGGCCGCGTAGAGACTCCTGGGAAGGGTGGGAATGGGTGGACGTGGCCAGCCAGGGGAGGCACTTGGGGGTTCACTGAACCCCGGCGTTCCTTGGCTAGAGGATCATACAAATCCTGCCGAACCCCCAGGAGCCCATCCCTGGCTTTATACCTGCGTGTGACTTTGATAAATGTATAAAAGGGATATGGTTCAAATTGCATAGCCAAAGCCTCTGTTTTGCTTTATTTGACCCGCTCCCCTACAAAAGGCCACTGCTCCAGTGGTGGGTTGCTCCTGGTTCGCACCAGTTCGCAAGAACCGGTAGTAAAAATTTGTAGTAGTTTGGAGAACCGGTAATAACATTCCCGGCCCGGTCCCTGCTTGCTTACCCCGCCCACCTCATCAGAGGCTTTTTTTTAAAAAAAAAACTTTTAAAAGCATTTTTTCTACAACCTCTTCGGCCGAAAAAATGCTTTTAAAAGTAAAATAAAAAAAGCCTCTGATGATCATGGGGCTCAGCTGGGATCGCCAGAGGCTTTTAAAAGCATTTTTTCTACAACCTCTTCAGCTGAAGAGGTTGTAGGAAAAAAAATGCATTTAAAAGCCTCTGGCGATCCCAGCTGAGTTGCCTGATCGGCAGAGGCTTTTAAAAGCATTTTTTTCTGCAACCTCTTAAGGTTGTAGAAAAAATGCTTTTGAAAGTAAAAAAAAAAAAAAAAAGTTGGCCATGCCCACCCAGTCACATTACCCCCACCAAGCCACGCCCAGAAAAGCCACGCCCACATAACGGGTAGTAAAAATTTTTAGAACCCATCCCTGCACTACTCCCTTCTCTAATGTTTATTTTCATTATTCAAGATCTACTTTTCACATCCCTCAGAACCACATCCACAGAACTATTTCCACAAGCTTTGAAGTTTGTTCTCCCTTAGTAGCCCTCGATTTACAACCACAACTGGGGCCAGAATTTCCATTGCCAAGGAAGGTGGCTTTTAAGCGAGTTGCACCCGATTTTACAACCTTTTTTCCCCATGGTTGTTAAGTGAATCAGTGCAGTAGTAAAGGGCATCATGCAGTCATTAAGCAAATCCAGATTCTTCCACTGACTTTACTTGTTGGAAGGGGAAGGTTGCAAATTGCTATCCCATGACCCCGGGGATGCTGCAATTGGCATGACAGTTGCCAGGTACCCAAATTTTGATCACATGAGCTTGGGGAGGCCGCAACAATTGTAAGTGTGAGTGACTTTTTTCAGTGTCATTGCAACTTCAAACTATCTCTAAATGAATGGTTGTAAGTCGAGGATCACCTGTATAGACCAGATTCTACACCAGCCACTTTCTGTATATCTTATGTTGTACTGTATGCATCCAGAGGGCATCAGATTAGACAAGGCCTGGCATCCTCTTTTTTGATGTAAGTGGAATCTTCCCCCACTTTTACAGGTAGTCTTCAACTTATAACAGTTTGCTTAGTGACCTGTTCTGTCCCTGTCTCACACACGCACACCAGCAGTTGACCAAGAGTTAAAATAAACCAGCAGACAAGAATTTCCTTTGATAACAGAATTGGCAGCAACCCAGTGGCTGCTTGCCAATAGTTTTTACTTACAAAGGGAGGTTTATCTCCTCCGACTGAAAACATCAAAGTCCACAAAAGCTAAAGAATAGTCAAGTCCAGTCCAAAAAATCAGTCCAAGCAGAGCATATAACAAAGTTCCAGAAATGCAGAATGACTTGCTAGTTTTCAGTTTTGTCCGTCACAAAACCTGAATGGCCACCACACCCCCTTTTATCCCCTGTGGGGTGTAGTCCAGTGACTCAGCTTAATCTCTGGCACGCCTCCTTCTCTGCTGCGTGTGCTTGTCTTTCCGACACTGTCGGGGATCCAGCCAAGACTTATATCCGTCGCTGTCTAACTGCGGCTGCTCGGAAATGCCTGGCTCCTGGCCTATCTCTTCTCCTTCGGAAGACACCTGAGGCATTGCCAGAGAGGAGGGTCCTGGAGAGGGAGGCCTTGCCATCTCCTCTCCTTCACTTTCGGAGTTTTCTCCCTCCGATAAGACGGGCTCGGGGGTCGAAGTCACAACATGACTGTTCAAAATTACGACAGTGAAAAAAGTGATTTATGGCCGTTTTTCATACATATGACCGTTGCGGCATCCCCATGGTTATGTGATAAAAATTCAGATGCCTTGCAGCCGACTCATATTTATGATGGTTGCAATGTCCTGATGTCATGTGATCCCCTCTTGCGACCTTCTGACCAGCGAAGTCAATGGGGAAGCCAGATTCACTTAACAACCGTGTTACTAATTTAACAACTGCAGTGATTCACTTAACAAACGTGGCAAGAAAAGTCGTAAAACGGGGCAAAATCCACTTAACAAATTTCTCATTTAAGGCAATATAAATTTTGGGCTCAGTTGTGATCATAAATTGAGGACTAACTGTATTTGGAGATGCTAAAGGTTGGTCCTGAGTTTTTCCTTCACAACTCTTCTTCAAAGTAATCTAATGCCATTCTTATTGTTCCATGTTTCCATAGATCACAGTCTCTCTCCTCCTGACCTCCTTCGGCCTTGCTATTGGCTCAGGATTATGGGCCACCAAATTCTTCCAGGGACACAGCTACCTTTTTGCCTTCTACAACCACACCAGTCCAGTCAGCTATGCCTTCTTTGCATTCTGGGGATTCCTCATCCTCCTAAGCTTGGTCATCCCCATGTCCATGCTCATCACGTAGGTTTCAACTCTTTCTTTTCTTACAATAGAGCAGGGGTGGGGAACCATGGTCCTTTTATGATTTGTGGACTTCAACTCCCAGAATTGGAAACAGATGAGTAACTGGAGCATGTGAACTTGAAGAGGATGATAAGCCATATGGACAGACCCTATAGCTAAAGATCTCTCAGCTTTGATTCATGATGACTAGCATCAGTTACCTAGAGTTTGAAAGCAGAATCTTCCCCAGTCCTTCCTGGAGATTTGAAGGGTTGAATCAGGACTTTTTTCACCCAGATCTGCTGGCTAGATCTTCTTGTCCAGGCCAAAAAAAAGGAGTGTGATATCTCATTGCCTTCCTGGTCATTGTTGTCCTTCTAGGTTTGAATTTATCTACCTGGTCAACAGCTGTTTCATCAACTGGGACACAGAGATGTATTATGCAGAGAAGGACACACCTGCCAAAGCTCGGAGCACAAGTCTGAATGACCAGTTGGGGCAGATTGAATATATTTTCTCAGACAAAACAGGCACTCTGACTCAAAACATCATGACTTTCAAGAAATGTTGTATCAACGGAATCATCTATGGTAAGGTTGACCTGGAAATGAATGGATTCAGAAAGCAGGCAAATGTACTGGTCATTTTAAAGTGCTGAGATTTGCAAACACTTGAATTAGTTGGAGTAACAGAATACAGAATAACAGAGTTGAAAAGGACCTTGTAGGTCATCTAGTCCAACCAACTGCCCAAGCAGGAAACCCTACACCATTTCTGACAGATGGCAGTCCAGTCGCTTATTGAAAGCTTCCAGTGATGAAGCTCCCACAACTTCTAAAGGCAAGCTGTCCCATTGCTTGATTCTCACTGTCAGAAAATGTCTCCTTAGTTCTAGGTTGCTCCTCTTCTTGGTGAGTTTCCATCCATTGTTTCTTCTGGTGCTTTTGAAAATAGGTTGACCCCCCCCCCACTCTTCTTTTTGGCAGCCCCTGAGATATTGGAATCATGTCTCTGCTATCATGTCTCCCCTGGTCCTTCTTTTTACTAGACTAGCCATGCCCAGTTCCTGTAACCGTTCTTCATATGTTTTAGCCTCCAGTCTCCTAATCATCCTGGTTGCTCTTCTCTGCACTCTTTCTAGAGTTTCAACGTCTTTTTTATAATGTGGTGACCAAAACTGGATGCAGTATTCTAGGTGTGGTCTTACTAAGGCTTTATAGAGTGGTATTAGTACCTCACATGATCTTGATTGAATCCCTCTGTTAATGCAATTTAGGATTGCATTGGCTTTTTTGGCTGCTGCTGTGTACTGTTAGCTCCTGTTTAATTGATTGTCCATTAAGACTCCAAGATCCCTCTCACAGTTACTGCTATTAAGCCTGGGTTCTCCCAAACTATATGTATACTTTTGGTTTTTCTTGCCTAAGTGTAAGACTTTACTTTTCTCTACATTGGATTTCATTTTGTTAGTTAGGGCCCAGTGTTCAAGTCTGTCAAGATCCATCTGGATCTTGAGCCTATCATCTAGGGTGTTGGCTATTCCTACCAACTTAGTATCATCTGCAAATTTGATAAGTTCCCCTTCTATTCCCTCATCTAAGTCATTTATGAAGGTATGGAACCTTGTGGCACCCCACTGCTTACTTCCCTCCATGTAGACATAGTACCCTTAAGGACTACTCGTTGATACGGTTTGTGAGCCAGTTACAAATCCATCTGTTGGTGATGCTATCTATCCCACTTGAATCCACTGGAGCAGGGGTGGGCAAATATGGCTCTTTTACAACTTGTGGACTTCAACTCCCAGAATTCTGGGAGTTGAAGTCCACAGGTTGTAAAAGAGCCACATTTGCCCACCCCTGCACTGGAGGATTCAAATGAGTATGTATCTTGCTAGATAGATTCTTGTTTACACGAACAAATAGTTTTGATTTACAACCATTCATTTTAGCAAGTGTTCGAAGTTACCATGGCAGTGAAAAAGTGACTTATAATAGGTCCTCACACTATGACCAATGCAGTCTTGTGATCAAAATTTGGGTGCTTGGCAACCAGCATATATTTATGACACTTGCCTCATCCTGGGGTGAATTTGAAACCTTCCCAGCTGGCTTCTGACAAGCAACATCGTTGGCTTAATGACCATGTGATTCACTTTAGCAATTGGGTTGATTCACATAACGACTGTGGCAAAAAATATCGTAAAATTGAGCACAATTCATTTAGCAACCACGTTGCTTAACAATGGAAGTTCTGGTCCCAGTTGTGGGTTTTTTTTTTTTTTTTTGCTTTAATTTATAAATGGTTGTGAGTCAAGTTTAATTTAGCTTAGCATATGAGATCAAAAGCAGGCAAAGAGACTTTGGATCTCATATGGACATTTTGCTATAACTATCGACAAATCCTTAAAGCGATTAATCCTTTCCCAGGGTTTACATGATCGATGTAGAGTCCCTGAAAAACCTCAAACCACACAACTACCATGTGAATGCAGAAAAAGGAGTGGTTCCTTAAAGGAGCTACTGCCAATATAGCAAGGATGCCCACACTGAATGAAGCCTTTTGCCAGTTTAAATCTGAATATTTAAATTCAGTTTAATTTGCAAAATAAAAATATTTATTAAGGGAAACTACTTGAAAACCAAAACAAAGCAAAAGCTTAAAAGAACCCGTTTTGCATGGCTCACAAAGGAGATGAAAAGGTAACAAGTTTGCCTTCTTCCCAGACAAACAAACAAATAAACAAAACACCCTCCTTCCAAATTTTCTGCCCTGAGGAATATTCTGTTTACAAAAGAATTTAGTAGAAATATCAGATCTGAACTGCCAGAGTACAATTTGCAATCTTCCTTAGAAATCAGGGTTTCTTGAACTACATGCATGTTAGATTTCCTAGGATGTATATATATTCTTAACTTCCAAGCATCGTTTCCTTAATATTCTCTTTCTCCCATTTTCGAATATTTGTAGGTTCAAACAAGACTGAATGCAAATCCATGGTACGTCACATGTTCCTGCTGTAGATCTGCCTGTTCTTGTGGCCATACGAAAGGGGATGGCACACTAGCAATCAAATGAACCTTCCACCAGCTGGTGGCAGGATTGTACCACTGCATTTATAGAAGGAAAAGAATTTGCTCAATCAAATGTCTTCCAGAATCTCATCAACCCCATAACAGTCGCTTGGTTGATTGTCGTTGTGAGCTGCCCTGAGTCCTTGGAGATAGGGCGGCATACAAATTTTATAAAATAAATAAAAAAATAAAAAAATTTAAACATCATAAGGCAGTTGGATGTATCAGGCTGAAGACACTTTATGGTGAACGTACAACAGGGCTTCACAACTCTGAAAACTTTAAGACGTGTGGACTTCAATTCCCAGAATTCCCTAGCCAGCTGGCTAGGGAATTCTGGGAGTTGAAGTCCATGTGTCTTAAAGTTGTCAAGGTTGAGAAACCTCGGTGTACAACCTTATACTGTAGTTTTGAAATCCGTGGGATAGAACTAACTTCTGGTAGGGACCTGTGAATTTGCAGGGATAATCATAATAATACAAATCATTTTTCTTCAAAATGATCATTAAGCCTCCTTTAAAAGAGTAGCATTAGATAACACGGTATAGGTTAGTGACTTACGATTTTAAATGGATCTGTCTGCAATTCCTGACAGGAAGTTTATGAAATGAAGAACCATGAATATTGATAAGGGAAGTTATACAGGTAGTCCTCGACTTTTAACCACTTGTTTAGTGACCATTCCAAGTTATAGCAGCCCTAAAAAAGTGACTTACCACTAGTTCTTGCACTTACAATCATCTCAGCCACCCCACTGTCACGTGATCAAAATTCGGGCACTTGGCAACCAGCACGCGTTTATGACAATTGCCGGCATCCTGAATCACGTGGTCCCCATTTGCAACCTTCCCAACAACAAAAAGTCAATGGGAGAAGCCAGATTCACTTAGTGAACCATGTGATTCACTGAACAACTGCAGTGATTCTCTTAACAACCATGGCGAAGAAGGTCATAACATTGGGCCTGGCTTGCTTAAAAACACCTTGCTTTATCAACAGAAATTTGACCAATTCTGGTCGTAAGTCAAGGACTACCCTGTAGTTGAACAACACCTGAAAAGTGGCAGGTTCCCCGGACACAGCTTTTAGAGTGAATTTTTAATATGGGGTATAAATCAGAGTATAGGAGTTGCCAACAAAATATAGGTGGGCAACAGTAGTGGAATTCAAATCCCAGGGCTACTGGTTTGCTATTGGTAGCGCACGGGCGCGTGCGGGCGGTGCTTCTGTGCATGTGCAGAGCGTTTTTGAGGACGTCTGGGTGGGTGGGCGGAGCCTCCTGCCGCTCCCACTACCGGTTCGCTTGAACCGGGGCGAACCAGGAACAACCCATCACTGGTGGCAACCCAGAGGTTGTGGGTCACCTGTGACTCTATTTGTGCTCTCCTCTCTCCTGTAAAGCCCAAATTGACATTGTTAAACCTCAGTGGCAAGATTTCAGCTATGCAATTGTCATTTTATTTATTTCCCTCTACTCCCCAAAATAAGAGGGGCACTGGGAACCCCGGTGGTGCACTGGTTAGAATGCAGTATTGCAGGCACATGCTGCCCACAGCCTGGAGTTCGATCCTGACGGGCCTCAAGGTTGACTCAGGTTTCTATCCTTCGAATATCGGTAAAATGAAGACCCAGATTGTTGGGGGCAATATGCTGACATTGTAAACAGAGTGCTGTAATACACTATGAAGTGGTATATAAGCCTAACTGCTATTGCTATAAAGAGGAGGCCTTCTATGAAGGGCCATAGGAAGTGAACGACTTCCAAATTGAGCCAAATATTTGAGCGTCATTCCCTCCAGTGAGGTTCCCATGTGCTGGGGCCCTCCGGCAATTAAGGGGACCTTAGCCAAAGAAAGTGCCCCACCCCTGCACTCTATGGTTTTTCCCTCCTTCCCAAGATGTGGGTTTACACAGTTTCAGAGCCAACCAATATAAATGGGTAAATCATCCTGATGGTTTCAAAAGCCCATCTCTGACCCTTGCTTGTCTTTTCTCCAAGGATTTAAGCTGGAACAAATATATAGACACGAAGCTGGAATTTCATGATCAGTTGCTTTTGGATACTATCCGGCGTGACCAGGACCCGGTAGTGAAGGAATACATGCGGTTGCTTGCCCTGTGTCACACTGTCATGGTGGAGGAGAAAGAAAGTGAGTAGACTAGTAGTTGATTCTACTTTCGGTCATCTCAGTTTTGTAGGAGTTGGTTATTGTGTAGTGGGCTGCAATAGGCAAGCACAGACCAGCATAGATACAACAGCATTTATTGACACAACTGCAACTGTGGAACAACAGGCAAATCCCTGTACTTTATACTCTGAGCCCACAGGGCCTCAACCAATCATAATACTTGAAAAAGCCCGCCCAAATATGAATGTATCAAGTTTCCCTCCAAAACAGTTGAAGTTAATAGTTAGGGTCATCTAAATCAGCGGTCACCAACAGGTGGTCCGTGGACCACTGGTGGTCCGTGAGAAAATTTTGGTGGTCCGCAGAAAAATTATTTGCATTTTTTATATTGCACTAAATCAGGGGTCCTCAAACTACGGCCCCTGGGCCGGATACGTGCAATGAACGTTTGTGTTGCTGCAGAGAACCTCCTCCCTCAGGGTTTTTTTGTAGGGGTTGGAGGGGGGCAGAAATTCCAACTTGGGGTCTGCTTCAGCCTCCTGGTGTGGGGTTTTGGGCGAAGGCTGGAGGGAAGTGTCGCTGGTGGCAAAGAGCTGGAGGACCTCATTCCAGTGGGACTGCATCATGGCCTGGAACTGGCTGATCATCTCAGCCCGCTGAGCCTCCAGGTGCCAGTACCTGGCCCTGCACTCCCACAGGTCTTCCCTCTGCTTGGAAAGCCTATGCTCGTAGTCCTCAGTGAGGTGCTTCTGCTGAGCCTCCTTCTCGGTCAGACCCAATTTGAACTGAGCCAGCTGTTTTGCCGACTCTTTCTCATGGTGGCTGCTTAGCTCCAACAACTGCTTCCTGTTGGGGCCCTAAGGAGCCCAGGTGGGCAGGGGAGGAGTGGCTGGGAGGGGAGGGGCGAGTAGAGGCTGGCGAGGCGCCCCTCCACATGAGTGACATTGAGTTGGCCACGCCCACCCAGTCACATGACCACCTAGCCATGACCACCCAGCCAGTCATTAGGCAGATCATATTAGTGGTCCGTGGGATTTAAAATTATGAATTTAGTGGTCCCTGAGGTCCGAAAGGTTGGGGACCCCTGATCTAAAAGTTAGTTTCACTTAAGCAGGGCTTAACACCAGTGGTGGGATTCAGCCGGTTTGGGCAAATTGGTTGTTAAATTGCTGGCCCCGCCCCTTCCAGGAATACCCACGCGCCCTGTTTTGGCTCCCACGTAAGTGCAGGGAGGCCTACTAGGCCCAAAACGGGGCATGGGGGGGAGCGCCCCCCGCGGCCCACTTTTGTTCCCGGGGAGTGCAGGAGGCCGAGTGCTGCCTGTCACACCCCCTGGCCACGTCCACCCAGCCGGTCATTAGGTCAGAGAACCGGTTGTTAAATTATTTGAATCCCGCCACTGCTTAACACAACTATATATATTCAATACATTACATTGGTCACGAGCAAAGCTAGAACAGGCTGGGACTGGAGGTAACCGAAAAATCTCCAACACCCATTTTTTTTTTTTTTAAATCTATCCTGCCTTTGTTGTTTTTACACATAACTCAAGGAGGTGAACATATCCAACACGCCTTCCTTCTCTTATTTTCCCCACAACAACACCTTGTGAAGTGGGTTGGACTCAAAGAGAGTGACTGGGCCAAGATCACCAGCTGGCTTTCATAGCTAAGGTGGAACTTGAACTCATGGTCTCCCGCTTTCTAGCCTGGTGCCTTAACCACTAGATCAAATTAGCTCTCGTCTCTGAATACCGAGTCTTCTTGTGCCCCAAATAATATATTTTATGTGGGATTCAAGTTCTGCTGTGATCTTCAGGAAAAGGTTTAAGCTGACCTCAGCAGAGAGACTGTACTCAAACAGAAAGTTCAGATGGGAACTGGAAACTAGACATACCCAATTCCAGCAAATTAAGTGGTTGTCCACTAAGACCCCTAGAGATCCCTCTCACAGTTAATGCTGTTATGCAAAGGTACCACCTATTCTAAACTTTTGCATTTGATTTTTCTTGTCTAAGTTTAAAACTTTATTTTTCTCACCACTAAATTACATTTTCTTGGATAGAGCCCAGCTTTCAACTCTGTCAAGATCTTTTTGAATCTCAAGCATATCTTCTAAAATATTATCTATTCTCCCCAGTTTGGTGTTATCTGCAAATCTGATGAGTTGTATCCCCTCATCTAAATCATTTATGAGTGAGATTCTCAGTCATCCACGTCATGGTTGTCCCAATGGTGCTTTTTCAAAAGGCAACTGTTCAGAACAGTTCAGAACTGAAGAAGCTTCTTGAATGAGAAGCAAAACATCTTCAGAGAAAAACAAAGTCCAGTTGCCTTTTGAAAAAGCACCTTTGGGATATTTATGAAGAGGTTGAAGAGTATAAGACAGTGATGGCTAACCTTTTTGCCATCGCGTGCCAAGAGCAGGGGGGGTGCACGCACACATGCTCACACCATAATTCTATGCGCCCTGCCCCCGCGCATGTGCACACAACCCCCCCACGTTCCCCACGCTCTTGGCACGCGATGGCATGGTAGGCCCGTTTTTTGCTGTCCCAAGTCTCTGGAGCCTTTCTAGGAGTCTGGGGAGGGCAAAAACAGCCTCCCCCCACCGGAAGTTGGTAAGTGGGCCATTTCTAGCCTCCAGAGCAGTGGTGAAATCTAAAATTTGTTACTACTGGTTCTGTGGGCATGGCTTGGTGGTGGTGGGGTAATGTGACTGGGTGGGCATGGCCAATTTTTTTTTTTACTTTTAAAACCATTTTTTACATGTAAAACCATGTAAAAAATGCTTTCAAAAGGCTCTGATGATTCCAGCTGAGTTGCCTGATCATCAGAGGGTTTTTAAAAAACTCTCTGCCAATCAGGCAACTCAGCTGGGATCGTCAGAGCTTGGCTCGTCAGAGGCATTTAAAAGAAAAAAAGCCTCTGATGATCACGCGGCTCAGCTGGGCATGGGGGGCGGGGGCAGGGATTTTTGCTACCGGTTCTCCGAACTGCCCGCCGCCATCGCTACCTACTCGCCCGAGCCAGTCCGAACCGGAAGCATTTCACCCCTGCTCCAGAGGACCTCCGAGGGGTGGGGAAGGCTGTTTTCACCCTCCCCAGACTCCTAGAAAGGCTCTGGAGGCTGGAGAGAGAGAAAAATGAGCCTTCCCCACCACCACCCGAAGTCCTCCAGAGGCAGGTAACAGCCTGTTTCCCTACTTCTGGTGGGCCCAGAAGGCCCAAAAATCAGCTGCCCGGCACATGTATGCACGCTGGAACTGAGCTCGCATGCCCACCCATATGGTTACACATGCCACCTGCGGCACGCGTGCCATAGGTTCGCCATCACGGGTATAGGACCCAAGACAGAGTCTTGGAGTACCCCATTGCATTCTTCCCTCCATGTAGATGTAATATTCACGGTTCACCTATCTCAGCATTAAAACCTTCTACAGACACCTAAGCCTTCAGATAATGTGTCCCAAGTAGGATCATTTGAACCTGGTCATTTGTGCCTTGAGGGAGAACTCTGGGTTGATTTCTTCAATCATCCATTTATTTTCTTGGCTGTCCGCAAAATTCTCAGGAGTCTTCCACAACACCAGAGTTCAAAAGCGTCAATACTCTTCCTAGCCTGCTTCTTCAAAGTCCAACTTTCGCTTTCATAAGAGTATTGCAAAGAATGCTAAGACTTGCACGATTCTGATCACAGTAGTTATAGACACAACACGGCATCTGAAGAATCATAGGATGGTTTCTGTTTATTTATTCTATTATCAAAGGCTCCGAGAGAAGCATAGATGGCTTCCCCCACAACACATACACACTTTTTATCTTCAGGCTAATCCTGTGAGGGTTTTTATTGCCTTTCAACTAAACATTTGTGAAATGGTTTAGAAGACACAATAAAGGAGCGATAATAAAGACAACAATTCCTGGCAACCGTTAATAGCCTAAGAACAGCCACAGCAGAAATAATAATAATTAAAAAATACACTAGAGTTTTTAAAAGTCAGGAAGAATAAAAGGCAAGATATCTAAAGACACTAGCATAAACCTCAGATGGGTTTCCTTGAGAAAAGGTTGCCAACCAAAGCCTTTTTCCCCCTCTAAAATTTAGAATGTTTTACAAGGTCAAAATATTTCAAGTACACTTCATTTGTTATCATTGAAAACCAGTATTTTCTCCATATTTTCTGCTGTATTGTAGTGAGCACAGAAGGGAAAATGTAATAATTAGGTGCTATGAAATCAGCTGTCTTGCTTATACCCATCTAAAGCAGAAAATTACCCAAGATCCCCCAGGCAGCAGTAGGAATGAATGAATGAATGAATGAATGAATGAATGAATGAATGAATGCAAATATACACGTATCAGGATAATACAGGTAGTCCTTGACTTATGACCACAATTGAGCCCCAAATTTTTGTTGCTAAGTGAGATATTTGTGAAGTGAACTTTGCTCCAGTTTACCTTTCCTGCCACAGTTGTTAAGTGAATCCCTGCAGTTATTAAATTAGTAACACGGTTGTTAAGTGCATCTGGCTTTCCCATTGACTCTGCTGATCAGACGGACACAAAAGGTGATCACATGATCTCGGGACATCAGAACGGTCATAAATGTGAATTGGTTGCCAAGCATCCATCTCTGTTAGGAATTTTTTCCTTAGGTCTAGGTTGGTTCTCTCCTTGATTAGTTGTTCTGCCCCAGCTTCAGACCCCAAAGAACGCAGCACACACAAAATCTGTACAAACCTTAGTTTACTAAATTAAATCAGTCTTTTTCAAACAAAGGCTGTTAATTAACTTTCTTAACAGCCTACAAGAATCCAAAGAATAAATAATCGTAATCTTACTATGGTTGGCAGAAAGCCCAGAAGCAATTTGCAGAGAACTAAGATCAAGACACAAAGGAGAGTGAACTAAGTTGTTCCCTGCAAATTGCCTCAGTCGTCGTCCTTCCTTAAATAGGCTAAGGGAGTGGCCAATTACCCCCAAGCCTCACTCTCGAGGAGACTTCCTCCTGAGGAGCCACTCCTGCCTTTTGGCAGCTCTGCGCGCCCGTGCATCGAGAAGAGGCTCCTCCTCTTCGTCCTCTTCACTTAAGGGAGCTTCTGGAGGTTTTGAAGGCCCTGGCTGAATCCCTGCCTCTGGCACCACATCTTCTCCAGCCTCCTCATTGTCCGACTCAAGTGCCAGCTGCACAGGCTGCTGGCGCAGCACCACACCAGCCTCCTCACTGTCGGAATCAGCGAGGCCTGTACAGGCCGCTGACTGGCCACAACACTAGTTCCCATCCGTTGCTGCTTGTTCTGCCTTCAGGTTTTTTGACTCCCTCTTCTTTGTGGCAGCCCCTTAGACATTGACTGCTATCATGGCACCCGTAGTCCTTCTTTTCGTTAAACACCTGGGACACTCTTTTGATTATGATCTAATCTTTTTGTTTTTAGGTGAACTTGTTTACCAAGCCGCTTCTCCAGATGAGGAAGCCCTGGTAACAGCTGCCAGAAACCTGGGTTATGTCTTTCTCTCCCGCACTCAAGATACCATCACGATAAGTGAACTGGGCATACAACGGACTTACAAGGTGCTGGCATTGTTAGATTTCAACAGTGTGAGAAAACGGATGTCTGTTTTAGGTGAGTATTTGTTGAGCTGCAAAGTATAGCTTGTCTAATGGGTATTTGGGCAAATGTGCAGGATTGGAAAGAAAATCTTTTTTTAAAAAGAGGATTTTTAAAGGAGAATTTCTTTTAAAGGAGGATTAGGCAGATGCATCTTTTTATTGAAAGCAGCTTAGAAGAATAGGAAGGGGTGGCATATAAATTAATGCAACTAAGTAAATCTGGTGAGAAACAAAACTGCCTTAAAATCTGAGCCAAAATTGGCAAATGAAAAGTGAAGGCATCAGATTAGAATTTTGTGGCTGTGTGCCTCCATGTTCACTCCTTACCTGCTGCTGAATTGGGATAAATTAAAATTATATTTAATTGTTTTAAGACAAAATAAACTGGGAGATATCCCAAAGGTACTTTTTCCAAAAGGCAACCGGACCTTCTTGGTTTTTTTGCTTTGAAGACATTTCACTTCTCACCCAGGAAGCTTCTTCAGTTCTAACTGACTAGTGGGAAATGGAAGGATGGGGCGGGGTGGGTGGGAATTGTTGCTTTTTTGATGGAGGTGGATAGGTGACATGCCAGAGATTAGACATTTTCTGAATTTTTGACACATTGAGCCCAAAACGTTTACCATCACAGATCTAGGAACAGAGAGACCCAGGTTTAAATGTTCTGACCTCAGGCATGAAAGCTCATGTATAACTTGGATCAACGTATCCTAAGAATTGAGTGCTTGGAGGGAAAATGGAATGTGAATCTAACAAACAAGCAGGGAAACAAGCCAACAGTTAAATGCAAGGTGGCATAAATATCCTTATTTCTTTTTCTCAGTGCAAGATCCTGAAGGTTGCATCAAGCTTTACACCAAGGGGGCAGATTCTGTGATCCTAGAAAGACTCCACAGTGACCGGATCAATGAAGGTTGCACCATCAAAGCACTGGATGTAAGTTTTGTATTGTATAGAAAAGCCAGGAAGGGAGCCATGATTATCTAGCGGAAGCTCCGCCCCATTTTTAGGTGCATCGACATCTGTTAAAAGGAGAGGGGGAGGTTCAATCTTATTTATTTATTTATTTATTTATTTATTTATTTATTTATTTATTTATTTATTTATTTATTTATTTATTTATTTATTTATTTATTAAATTTCTATACCGCCCTTCTCCAAATAGGACTCAGGGCGGTGCACAGCCAAGGTAAAAACAGAGCATACAAAATTTAAAAACAGTATTAAAATAATTAAATATTTTGGCCGTAAATTAAAACAACCCAATTTAAAATCAATTTAAAATTAAACTCAAGCCAGCCCAGCTAGTTGAAATAAATAGGTTTTCAGGGCCCGACGAAAAATCCGGAGGTCTGTTATTGTACGTAACTCTGGGGGGAGGTTGTTCCAGAGGGTGGGTGCCGCCACAAAGAAGGCTCTCCCCCTGGGGGTCGCCAGCCGACATTGTCTGGCAGACGGCACCCTGAGAGGCCCACTCTGTGCGAGCGTACTGGCCGGTGGGAGGCTATTGGTGGCAGAAGGCGGTCTCGTAATCTTGCAGTTCAGCTGTCATCTTGATGGCTTTAATTATAGTCAACACCACCTAATTTCTCTGCTTAATTTTGAGCCAATCACTCTTTGCCCAGGGACCCTGTGGGAAAAAAAAACTGAACTAAGAAGAGATTGGATAACCACTTGTCTGAAATGGAATAGGGTTTCTTGCTTAGGTAGGGGGTTGGATTAGACCAGGGGTGCCAAACTCAAGGCCCGCAGGCCAAATCCAGCCTGCGGGGTGCTTAGATCTGGCCCGTGGGGCTGTCCTGGAAACAGTGAAGCACTGGCCCACGGTGCCTTTGCCAGTGAAAACGGAGTTCGGGAGGGTCCTCCTGAGCTCCGTTTTCGCTGGCAGAGGGCTGCAGGAGGCCGTCACAGCTGAAAACAAAACTTGGGAGCCTGTTTTCACTGGCAGAGTGCTCGGGCCGCCACAGGCATCCCCAACATGAGTGACATTGAGCTGGCTACACCCATCTTGGCCACGCCCACCCCAGCCCTCTGAGGTCAAACACAATCCTGATGGGGCTCTCAATGAAATTGAATTTGACTCACCTGATTTAAGGGGCTGCCAAAAAAGGAGGGACGGATCAACCTATTCTCCAAAACATCTGAGGGAAGGACAAGAAGCAATAGATGGAAACTAATCAAGGGTAGAACCAATCTAGAACTAACTAACCTAGAACTAAGCTCGTGAGGGCCGCACGCGGTCCTCCTGAGCTCCATTTTCGCTGGCAGAGGGTTGCAGGATTCCGTTGCAGACAAAAATGGAGCTCGGTAGCCTGTTTTTGCTGGCAAAGTGCTCTGGCTACCACAGGAGTGCCCCCGACACGAGTGACATTGAACTAGCCATGCCCACACTGGCCATGCCCACACTGTCACCCCGAGATCAAACACAACCCTGATGCGGCCCTCAATGAAATCGAGTTTGACACCCCTGGACTAGAAGATCTCCAAGGTCCCTTCCAACTATTATTCTGCTACATACACTGCTGAAGTTCCTGAAGGAAAGTATGGATGAGAATCTCACAACTAGGCACACAATTCCATAGCAAATGCCACCTCCTGAACAACCCATGCTTGTTCTCTTCCCCCAGAGTTTTGCAGCGGAGACCTTAAGGACTTTATGCCTGGCTATGAAAGAGGTGGACAAAAAGGACTACGCTCTATGGAGCAAGAAACACCATGCGGCGAGCATCTTATTACAGGACCGGGCCGAAGAGTTGGACAAAGTATATGAGGAGATTGAGCAGAATCTCAAGGTAAACATTGGTTTTGGTTTGGACTGACAGCCAAGTCAAAGGGAGATCTTGGATATTGTGCCGTTTCTGAGAATTGACATTATTTGATATTGTTTTGGCTGAAAAGAGCCATACAGGTAGTCCTCGGCTTATATCCACAATTGACCCTGAAATTTCCATTGCTAAGCAAGACCGTTGTTAAGTGAGTTTTGTCCCATTTTACAACCTTCCTTGACACAGTTGTTAAGTGAATCACTGCAGTTGTTAAGCCAGTAACACAATTGTTAAGTGAATCTGGCTTCCCCATTGACTTTGCTTCTCAGAAGGTTGCAAAAGATGACCACATGATCCCAGGACACTGCAACCGTCATAAATACATGCCAGATGTCAAGCATCTGAATTTGGATCACATGACCACGGGGATGCTGCAATGGTCGTAATGTGAAAAAATGATCATGTCACTTTTTTCAGTTATGTTGCAACTTTGAATGATTACTGCACGAATGCTTGTACTTTGAAATTTTGGACTCAATTGGGTCGAAAGCAGTGGTGAAATCTAAAATTTGTTACTACTGGTTCTGTGGGCGTGGCTTGGTGGGAGGGGTAATGTGACTGGGTGGGCATGGCCATTTTTTTAAAAAAAAAATTAAAACCATTTTTTCCTACAACTTCTTTGGCGAAGAGGTTGTAAAAAAAAGGCTCTGACGATCCCAGCTGAGTTGCCTGATCGGCAGAGGGTTTTTTAAAAAGCCTCTGCCGATCAGGCAACTCAGCTTGGATTGTCAGAGGCATTTAAAAGAAAAAAAAAGGGTGTTTTTTCTTTTAAAAGCCTTTGAGGATCCCAGCTGAGCCTCACGGTCATCAGAGGCTTTTTTTTTTTTACTTTTAAAAGCATTTTTTGCCCGAAGAGGTTGTAGAAAAAATGCTTTTAAAAGTAAAAAAAAAGCCTCTGATGATTGTGCGGCTCAGCTGGGCATGGGGGTGGGGCAGGGATTTTTGCTACCGGTTCTCCGAACCACCCGCCTCCATCGCTACCGGATCGTCTGAACCGGGAGCATTTCATCCCTGGTTGTAAATCAACAACTACCTGAACTGTAGTATGAAATTTGTACTGTGAAGTTTGAACTGTGAAGTTTTGAATCAACTCTTGTTTTGTTCTTTCAGCTTCTGGGTGCCACAGCCATAGAGGACAAATTACAGGATGGGGTCCCTGAGACCATTCGTCTTCTCAAAAGGGGGGGCATCAAAGTGTGGGTGCTAACTGGAGATAAGCAAGGTACATCAGACAATTCATGACTTTCTGGTCCCAGGGAATCCCTCAGAAATGACATTCTTTTCTGGAAAAAGAAAAAGTTTGCAGGCTTCCAAATCTTTTCACTCTGCTTCAAGGCACATGGCCACAACTAAGTACAGAAGCTGAAACATTAACTCTATAAGCAAACTGAAATGCATTACTTACTGTACCGTTAACACATTTAGATAGAGATATCCATATTTTCAGATATACAGGTAGTCCTTGACCTACAACAGTTCATTTAGTGACTATTCAAAATTACAACAGCACTGAAAAAAAGTGACCTGACCATTTTTCACACTTACGACTGTTGCAGCATTCCCCACGGTCACATGATCAAAATTCAGAATCTTGGCAACTAAGTCGCATTTATGACAGTTGCAATGTCCTGGGGTCATGAGATAATCTTTTGAGACCTTCTGACAAGCAAAGTCAATGGGGAAGCTAGAGTCACTTAACAATTGTGTTACTAACTTAACAACTGCACTGATTCACTTAACAACGGTGGAAAGAAAGGTAACATAGGGCAAAATTCACTTAACTGTCTTGCTTAGCATAGATTTTGCTTAGCATAAATTTTGGGCTCAATTGTGGTGATAAGTCAAGGACTACCTGTAGTCTTTTTAAAAAAACCTGTTTCAGGGATGGAAGCAGAAATAGAAGAGAATGTGCCATGCTCCAGCTTTTAATCCCATTTCTGGTCTTCATTATGTTTGCAGAAACTGCTGTCAATATTGGGTTTGCTTGCCAACTCCTTTCTGAAGACATGACCATTCTGGAGGAGAGTGAAATCAGGTATGGACCTATGTTTTCTGCCCCAGCTCCGGATTCCCAAGGATTGTGACACACACCAACGATCCTTATCAAAGTTATAACATACCAAGAATAAACAAAGTCTGGCAAAGGTTGGCAACCAGCCCAGAAAACAAGATACGATAAAACACTCACTCTCCAAAATGCTCTGTAATAATTACACATTGTTTCCAGCAAGAAATTACTAACTGTGTGCACTTAAATAGGCTAAAGGAGTGGCCAATTATCCTCAAACCTTACTCCTGAGGAGACCTCCTCCTCCTGAGTAGCCACTCCTGCCTTTTGGCAGCCCTGCGTGCTCGAGCATTGAGGAGAGGCTCCTCCACTTCACTCTCTCCACTTGAAGGAGCCTCTGGAGGTTCTGAAGGCCCAGGCTGAGTCTCTGCCTCTGGCACCACATCCTCTTCAGCCTCCTCGCTGTCCGATGCGAGCGCCGGCTGTGCCGGCTGCTGGCACAACCCCACACCAGCCTCCTCGTCGTCGGGATCAGCCACGATCCGCGCAGGCCGCTGGCGGGCCACAACACTATGAAAGATGCGTTTGGATGTCTGTGGTTGGGCAAGTGAAAGGAAGTAACTCAAATGGAGAAGTAATTGGGTGTTGTTTGGAAACCCTAGATCAGGGGCGTCAAACTCAAGGCACACATCTGGCCCATGAGGCCGCTCTGGAAACAGTGAAGGACCAGTCCGTGGTGCCTCTGCCAGCGAAAATGGAGTGCTGATCTCTGTTTTTGGCTGGGATAGCCTCCTGCAACCCTCTGCCAGTGAAAACTGAGCTAGGAGGGCCACACTTTGCAGTCCGGTCTCTTCTTCCAGTGATGAAGCTCCCTCAACTTCTGAAGGCAACTTCTGTTCCAGTCAGAAAGTTTCTCCTAACTTCTAGGTTGAATTTCTCCTTGACAATGCTTTGAACTTGTTTGAGGGCAGAGCAAATACAGACTCTTGTTCCTGAACTTTCAGTTTTTCTTTGACTTTATCTTGGACTCAGAAATTAAACTTTTCTTTGGGGGAAAAAAAAATTAAACTTTTCATGAACATCCTGTAGAATTCACAGGCGAAGGATGGGAAGGTTAGATCAGTGGTGAAATCCAATTTTTTTTACTACTGGTTCTGTGGGCGTGGCGTGGTGGGTGTGGTGTGGCATGGTGGGCGTGGCTTGGTGGGCATGGCAGGGGAAGGATACTACAAAATCCCCATTCCCTCCCCACTTATGGATGAAGGATATTGCAAAATCTTCATTCCCACCCCACTCTGAGGCCAGCCAGAGGTGGCATTTGCCGGTTCTCTGAACTACTCAAAATTTCCGCTACCAGTTCTCTGAACTGCTCAACATTTCTGCTACCAGTTCTCCAGAACCTGTCAGAATCCGCTGGATTTCACCCCTGGGTTAGATGTTGCAGATGCATCTTGGACAAGTGGCTCAAGGCTAGTGATTTCAATTGGTCTGATGACTTGCGCTTCCGGGTTCAAGACACCTGCCCTTGTTTTCCCGCCATCTTGTTTTTCAGGGAGATTCTTGAACCATCCTGGTACAGCAGCAACAGTTTGGCTGGCAGCGGTGAAGCCCTGTGCAACATCAGTTCTTTTCTTCCTTACCAGGCTTCGCATGTCAAAAAAGCCCTGGTGGTCACTGGGGACTTCCTTGTAAGTCCTTCCTTCCTTCCCATTTTTAATGGGTCCCTCTTCTCTATAGTACGGGTAATCCTCGATTTATGACCTCAATTGAGCCCAACATTTCTGTTGCTAAACCAAAGAGTTTTTAAGTGCATTTTGCCCCATTTTATGGCCTTTCTTGCCACAGTTGTTGAGTGAATCACTGAAATTGTTACGTTAGGAACAAGGTTGTTACCAACTTAACAATTTCAGTGTTTCTCCGGTTGTTAATTTAACTTAACAACAAGGTTGTTAGGTGAATCTGGTTTTCCCCATTGACTTTGCTTGTCAGAAGCTTGCAAAAGCTGATCACATGGCCCCGGGACACTGCAACCGTCATAAATATGAGTCAGTTGCCAAGTACCCGAATTTTGATCCCATGACCATGGGGATGCCACAACAGTCGTAAATGTGAAAAACGGTCACAAGTGACTTTTCTCAGTGCCGTTGTAACTCTGAACAGTCACTAAATAAACTTTTGTAAGTCGAGAACTACCTGTAACTGGCTTTTTTTAAATGACATATGGGGTATTTTCCTGCGCATTGATACGAGAAATTCAGAAGAGATTTCCATCAAGGTAGGGAAAAGCCTATTTTTTAATTAGGGGGTCCTTGACTGCTCTAATAACTGAGGTAACAGAATAAGAGAATTACAGAATAACAGAGTGGGAAGGGACTTTGGAGGTCTTCTAGTCCAGCCCCCTGCTCAGGCAAGAAACCCTGTAGCCAGTGGTGAAATCTAAAATTTGTTACAATTGTTCTGTGGGTGTGGCTTGGTCCCCACTGGCTGGGCGTGGCCATTTTTTTTTCTTTTAAAAACATTTTTTCTCTTCGGCGAAGAGGTTGTAAAAAATGCTTTCAAAAGGCTCTGACATATCCCAGTTGAGTTGCCTGATCGGCAGAGGCTTTTTTTCTTTTAAAAGCCTCTGCCGATCAGGCAACTCAGCTTGGATCGTCAGAGGCATTTAAAAGAAAAAAAGCCTCTGCCGATCAGGCAACTCAGCTGGAATCGTCAGAGACTTTTAAAAGTATTTTTTCTACAACCTCTAAAGAGGTGCTTTTAAAAGCCTCTGACGATCCCAGCTGAGCCACGTGAGCATCAGAGGCTCTTTTTTTTACTTTTAAAAGCATTTTTTTGGCCGAAATGTCCGAACCGGGAGAATTTCACCCCTGCCTGTACCATTTCAGATGAATGGTTGTTCAATCTCCTTAGTTGTAGGTTGCTTCTCTCCTTGCTTAGTTTCCACCCATTGCTTCTTGTCCTGCCTTCAGGTGCTTTGGAGAATAGTTTGACTCCCTCTTCTTTGTGGCAGCCCCTGAGATATCGGAACACTGCTATCATATCACCCCTAGTCCTTCTCTTCATTAAACTAGACTTACCCAATTCCAGCAACCGTTCTTAGTAGGACAGCTATAATTCTGGGCAAGGAAATCAGACCCCTGGGTTATATGTCTGGGCTTCATCTCTTCCCAGGAGAAAATCTTTCACACGGAGGAGAAGAAGAAAGCAAAGAAGAAGAAAGGCCTTTTGGAGCACTTGCGCTTCCGGACTGCGGACATCAGCAAGGAGCAAGGAAACCTCACTGAAAAAGTATTTGTGGAACTGGCTACCACCTGCCAAGCTGTGATCTGCTGCAGGGTCACGCCCAAGCAGAAGGCCCTCATTGTGCAAATGGTGAAGAGACACAAGAACGCCATCTCCTTGGCCATCGGAGACGGGGCCAATGATGTCAACATGATTAAAAGTGAGTCCCCTGCCCTTTTTGGTACAGTCTTAGGTAGCCAGGTTATGATCTTAAATTGGCTTTTCTCAGCAAGGTGCATGGAGATAGTACTGTAGTACTGTAGTAGTTGTAGTCCTTGACTTACAACAGCGACCGTTCAAAGCTACAACGGCACTGGAAAAAGTGACATGACCATTTTTCACAGTTCAACCTTTCGTGTGATTGAAATTCGGATATTTGGCAACTGGTTCATATTTATGACGGCTGCTGTATCCCAAGGTCATGTGATCCCCTTTTGTGACCTTCTGACCAGCAAAATCAAGTGGGGGAATCCAGATTCACGTAACAACCAGGTTACTCACTTATCAACTGCAGCGAATCACTCAACATCTGTGGCAAGAAAGGTCGTAAAATGGGGCAAAACTCACTTAATCAATTTCTCACTTAACGACAGAAATTTTGGGCTCAGTTGTGGTCATAAGTCGAGGACTACCTGTACTTTTTAACAGGACCAGCCATGGGTTGTGGCTGCCAGCAATTGTAGTCCAAAACATTTGGTTGGTGCCGCGGTAGAGACGGTGGATTTAAATTTGCAGTTGATTAGATTTGCCTGGGTAAATCTAACAGAGGGTTTGTGACTCACGCAGGCCACAGCAGAGCTGTCACCATGGAAACGTAAGTTTAACTTTTATACACACAGGGACCTCCGTTCCTGTGGAGAAAGAGCTAGATTGGTCTTACAGGTGGGAGAGAAAAGAAAGTGTGCTAGAGAGTTTGGAGGTTTAGGGTTGAGGCCAGTGGTGGGTTGCTACTGGTTCACCCCGGTTCGGGCAAACTGGTAGCGGCGGCGATGGGGGGCTCCACCCACCCACCCGGATGCTTCTGCGCATGTGCAGAAGTATAGCACATGGGTGCGAGCGAGTGCCCCCCCCGAGCGAACTGGTAGCGATGGGTTTTGAATCCCAACCCTGGTGGAGGCCACCTCAGACTTATGACATTTTAGGGGCCTTTTTGTAACTATGACCTTTTGGCAACTTGGGAGCCATTTTTCTTTAGAAAAGCATCTAAGATGGATGAATTCTGCCCAAATCTTTTAGAAACCCAGATAATATGGCAGCTACATCCATTAAGGGGTAAAAAAAAAAAAAATTAACCAGAAAGGTGGGCAAGACCAGGCAATTGAAGCCCCACCCCTTTTGTGTCCAGGGGATGAGTGTGATGGACATGAAAAGGGGCAGAAGCTTCAATCACCTGATCATTCCTCCCATTTTGATACAGACCTTCCCAATGGATGCCATGATCAACCCATTAGATTTCATCATTTACTTATTTATTTTATTTTATTTTATTTGTCAAGCTTATATAAGATAACAGGTAAAAGTATAAACATAATTTGAATACATGAAAAGAGTAAGTAAAAAGGAATATTAGGACAGGGACGGTAGGCATGCTGGTACACTTATGCACGCCCATGTCATGTTCCATGAGGCCTTTCAATTGCAACTTGGTCATTATTCTCTCATAGTTTTGCCTTGCTTGCTTACTTATTTATTACATTTATATGCTATCTATCTCACTATCAAGTGACAAATCTTTTGATATGCCAATACTGTCTATAGCACTAGCAATAGCTATAAACACTTAGACTTCAGTGGTGGGATTCAAATAATTTAACAACCGGTTCTCTGCCCTAATGACCGGATGGGTGGGCGTGGCCATGGTGGGCGTGGCCAGGGGTGTGACAGGCAGCACTCGGCCTCCTGCACCCCCCTGGGAGAAAAAAAATGGGCTGTAGTGGGGATGCGCCACCCTCCCCACCCCATTTTGGGTCTAGTAGGCCTCCCTGCAGCCTCCTGGGAGCAAAACCAGGCCGCAGGGGGCCCACGCTGCACCCCCGCACCCTATTTTGGGCCTAGTAGGCCTCCTTGCACTTACCTGGGAGCCAAAATGGGGCGCGTGGGGACTCCTGGAAGGGGCAGGGTGGGGAGGAGCAGGGCCAGCCAGCAATTTAACTCCCGGTTTTGCCCGAACTGGCCTGAACCAGCTGAATCCCACCACTGTTAGACTTATAGTCCTTTGCATCTGGACAGTTTACAGAGTCAGCCTATTGCCCCCAACAATCTGGGTCCTTATTTTATTGTCCTCAGAAGAATGGGAGGCTGAGTCAACCTTGAGTCGGTCAGGATCGAACTCCCAGCTGTGGGCAGAGTTAGCCTGCAATACTGCATTCTAACCACTGCGCCACCATGGCTCTATGCCAGGGATGTGCATTTTCCCCCTATTAAAGGCCACCTCACCTGAAGTGTTTATATTTCAGAAGTCATATAATAAGTGGGCCAAAGCAAAAGAATGTGAGACCACGGAAGCAGGGATGAGTTCTAAAATTTTTTACTACCGGTTATGTGGGCATGGCTTATTTTGTGGGCATGGTTTGATGGTCATGTGACAATTCTTTAGGATTTAGCAGAGGTACTGGTCCATCAGGCTTTTAACTGCTTGCAGAACCATACCGGTCTTCCCATTTGTTTTTGGAGTGCACCGGTCTACCATCACACTGCCTTTTACCGCTGATCAGCTGTAGGGTGGCCCTTTGAAGCGCTGCGGCAAGTGTTTAAACAGTTTTTTTCCTTCTAGCCGATCAGCTGGGACTCGGGAGGCATCGAATAGATTGGGGGCAGGGCCAGGCAGAGGTGGTATTTACTGGTTCTCCGAACTACTCAAAATTTCCACTACCGGTTCGCAAGAACTGGGGAGAATCGGTAGCAACCCACCGCTGCACAGAAGGTTCCTCTTTCCCCCTTTTTCCAACATCCTTTTTTATTTTTCTATACCTCCTGCTTTTCTTTTGAAGTCCTCAGGACCAATCCTGAAAAGCAACACAAAATTTTTAGTTAGTATTTGGATGGAAGACTAAAGAAAACCCTGGCCTGTAGGTTAGGTTTAGAAGTTGTAACATCTTCAATTTGAATTTAATTGGACCATGAGTGAAATCCAGCAGTTACTGACAGGTTCTGGAGAACTGGTAGCGGAAATTTTGAGCAGTTTGGAGAACCGGCAAATACCACCTCTGGCTGGTCCCAGTGTGGGCAGGGAATGGGGATTTTGCAGTATCCTTCCCCTGCCATGCCCACCAAGCCACACCACGACCACCAAGCCACACCCACAGAACCGGTAGTAAAAAAATTTGAATTTCACCACTGGATTGTACCTTTTTTTGTCAATTTCCAAGCATCAAACAAGGGAGAACTACCCCTTACAAGAAGTCCAGACAGTCCTCTTGGTGAGGATGGTTAAGTGTTGGCCAAAGTTGCCTTCAATTTCACCACCACAGAGTTATCTACCTGGTTCAGGTGGTGGTTTTCCACTCCTTTGGGCCTCTATCTGGGAACTAAAGCTGGGGTGATTCGTGAACAAGACTTGAATTCCCTGCAAGGATCCTTCCCCTTCTGCATCTCAATCGGAAACTTCTGAGATTTTCATAAAGCCACAAATTGGAATACTTGGAATATTGCATCTAGTTTTGGTCGCCACAATTAAAAAAGATGTTGAAACTCTAGAAAGAGTACAAAGAAGAGCAACAAAGATGATTAAGGGACTGGATGCTAAAGCATATAAAGAACGGTTATTGAAATTGGGTATGTCTTGTTTAACGAAAAGAAGGACCAGGGGTGACATGATAGCAGTGTTACAATATCTTAGGGGTTGCCACAAAGAAGAAGAAGTCAATCTATTCTTCAAAGCACCTGAGGGCAGGACAAGAAGCAATGGATGGAAACTAATCAAGGAGAGAAGCAACCTAGAACCAAGGAGAAATTTCCTGATAGTTAGAACAATTAATCAGTGGAACAACTTGCCTCCAGAAGTTGTGAATGCTACAACACAGGTGGTTTTAAAGACATTGGATAACCACTTGTTTGAAATGATATAGGATTTCCTGCCTGAGCAGGAAGTTGGACTAGATGACCTCCAAGGTACCTTCCAACTCTGTTATTCTGTTAAATAATTGCTGAAGTCAGAATTGGAATGTGGTCTAATATTAACCCTCCCTTGTGTTCTCTCCAGCTGCGGACATAGGGATTGGAATCAGCGGGCAAGAAGGCATGCAAGCAGTACAGTGCAGTGATTATGCGCTGGCTCAGTTCCGCTATCTTCAGAGGCTCCTCTTTGTCCATGGCAAGTGGTCCTACCTCCGGATCTGCAAATTTCTGCGCTACTTCTTCTTCAAGACATTTGCTGGCATGATGGTGAACATCTGGTTTGCTTTCTATACAGGATTCACAGCACAGGTGAGTATTAATTCCCCTACCCACCCTAAACCCCTGAGTCTAATCTGTTCAGTCTGCCTTTCATTTCTGAGCTTGTATGATGTTGGGAAGCTCCCAGGCAGACATGGAGGAGGAGTCAAGTAGGGAGGTAGTCTTGAATCAGCAGTGAAATCCACTACCGGATTGTGTGCGCTCCCACAAGGGAACACACACACACACAAAGTGCATGCGCGTCTCTTCTGTGCATGCACAGAATCTTCTGCACATGTGCAGATGGCTAAAAAATGGGATGTAATGACGTCCCAGCACATGGGGGAAGCCTCCCGCTGCCAATGCTACCAGTTCAGCGAGCCAGATAGAACTGGGGGGATTTCACCGCTGTCTTGAATCCTTGTGCGGCCACAAGAAGCATAAGCCTGACACCCCCACCCTCCACCCCCTTAAGTTAAACGAAACCTTATCAGTTTGTTTCCAAGGGGAAAGAAGTCTGGGGAGATTCTTGTAATATAGGTAGAACACAATAAAGTTATTGAATTGAACCTTTCACGAGTGGATCTGGTTGTTTGCTTGTGCCAGACATATTCATAGCATTTCTCTTGGCTACTAATTTTGTCACATTGTCAAAGAATGAAGTAAGATTTCTCTGGCATGATCTGTTCTTGACAAACCCATATTGGCTTCCATTTATGACTTTGTTTGTCTCTATGTGTTCGGAGATTCATTGCTTAGTTATCTTTTCCAGAATCTTCCCAGATATTGATGACAGGCTGATAGGTCTGTAGTTTCCTAGACCCATTTTTCCCCCTTTTTTTGAAGATGGGAACTACATCAGTTCTTTTCCAGTCACCTGATAGTTTTCCGGTGTTCCAGGATCTTTGAAAGATGTGGTTCAATGGTTCTGAGATCACATCTACCAGTTCCTTCAGAACTTTGGGGTATAATCCATCTGATCCTGATAACACGATAAAGTTCTCGGCATAAATTTCTTGTGAACTCATTGTTGATGGGGGGCGGAGTGTCTTGCTCCCTCGGAAAGGGTTCATAATCTTGGCGTCCTCCTTGATTCACGGCTGTCTTTAGCGGACCATCTAACGGCCATGACAAGGGGGGCATTTGCACAGGTTCGCCTGGTGCGCCAGTTACGCCCTTTTCTAGACAGGGACGCCCTCCGTACGGTCACTCATGCTCTCATTATCTCTCGGCTGGATTACTGCAATGCCCTCTACATGGGGCTGCCCTTGGGGTGCACCCGGAGGCTCCAATTGGTCCAGAATGCAGCCGTGCGAGTAGTTACAGGTGCATCCCGCTACTCCCATATAACACCACTATTGCGCGAGCTGCACTGGTTGCCGGTGGTCCTCCGGATCTGCTTCAAGGTTCTGGTACTCATCTATAAAGCCCTTCATGGCATGGGCCCGAGGTATTTGCAGGATCACCTCCTACCGGCCTCCCACCGCCCAGTGCGCTCACATAGGGCTGCCCTCCTCCGGGTCCCCTCGGCCAGACAGTGTCGGCTGGCAGTCCCCAGGATGAGGGCATTCTCTGTGGTCGCACCGACCCTCTGGAATGGGTTGCCCACCGGGCTCTGGACGGCCCCTGACCTCCACACCTTCTGCGCCAACCTAAAGACATGGCTCTTTCAGCAACTTCCCTGATCTGCTGTGGATTTTAATTTGGGGATTTGGGGATTTTAATTGGTTTTAATATTATTTAATTTTTATCTATTGTCGGGTTGTTTTATTGTTGTGAGCCGCCCCGAGTCCTATGGGAAAAGGGCGGCATATAAATCTGACAAAATAAATAAATAATAAAAATAAATAAATATTGCACTGAGGGATCAGCTGCATTGGAGAGCAAGGCTGTGCAAAGCCTTTAAAGACACATTGCAAAGAGTGCCAGCGTAAACACAGCTTCCTCTTTGATGCCCGGAGGCAACCGTCGTTTGCAGAAGGCTTGGCAGGGCTCCTGGCAGGATTTTTTTTCAGGTTATGCAGATGCAAACATAGCTACATCTTCACTAGTAGCAGGATTATTATTGGAGCTCGCACATACCTGCAGAGACAAAGCCCTTGCCTTGATTAGTTGGCCATGAAAAACTGTCTGTTTATCCTGTAATTTGTAGATGGACTAGTAGTGCTTATTCACAAAGACTGTAGGCTTTCTCAGGAATAATTGATGCTCCCTGGCATATTACCTTCCCAGAAAAGCCATTCGGCTTTAGGAATTTGTGTGAATGCTATGCACAAATATGTTTTTCACATTCTCCTTCCTTCCACCGATACCTCCACACAATCTAACAGACTCTTTGCGGTTGATAAGCATGCATTAATAATCCAGTGAAAACAGCCCCAGTTTCGTTAAAGAGAATCAACAAGATCTCTTAAAAAGAAAACATCTACTGGTGATGTATGATATCCACTCCTTCATTTAAGCCCTCCAAGATAATTCATATTTTATCACCTTCAAGCACAATTTCCAGAGGGAGACTGTTCCACAAGATAAACACAACACTTGAAAAGCTGCCTCTCAAGTTCACGAAAACTAGAGACACCCGGAAATTTGTCTCGGGATGCAGATCCATTCCGGCTGGAAGAGACATTTCTTGAAATCAAGGTCCTTAGATTTCTTTTTCCCATTTATATCTTTGCCCGTATCCAATGGTGGGATTCAACCGGTTCTCACCGGTTCATACGAACCGGTTGTTAAATTACCCACCCACCCCCACTATCAAAGTGGATCCTGGGCGCTGCACTGCAATGGAGAAACAGGCAACAGAGTGGCTGGCACCAGGGAAGGAGAAGGCCACTTTCCGTCTTTCTTCTCCTTGCTCCTCCTCCTTCCCTTGTGCCGGCCACTCCATTGCCTGTTTCTCCATTGCAGCGCAGCGCCCAGGATCCACTTTGATGGGTGGGGTGGGGGGTAATTTAACAACCTGTTAGCCCAGGGTCAGGTTGGCTGTCATGGGAGGCTCATCCCGCATGTGTGGTGGAGCTGGAAGACAGGGATGGGCCACGCCTCCCACAACAGCCAACCTGACCCTGGGTGAATCGGTTATTAAATTATTTGAATCCCACCTCTGGCTGTATCATATATCGCAGGGGTTCCCAACCCCCAGTCAGTGGCCCAGTAATGGTCCGCGGCCAGTTGGGAACTGATCCAAAAAGTGATGGGTGAGTGGGCAAGCACACGACAATCCATTTGCATAAGCAATGGGGGCGTGTTCAAAACCATCTCCTCTCCGCCCTGCCACTCTGCCACCAACAAGAGACAATGAATAAAGAGCATAAAACACGGGAAATAGAGGAGATAATAGAAAGACCAGAAGTAAAGATAGAACAGATGAATCAACAAATAAAACAAGAAGAAGAGAAGGAGAAGACAATAAAGACTTATGAATCAAATAAGGGACAATATATATTAAGAGATCAAAAAATGGGTTTGGATTAAAAGAAATATATTTTTGAAGAGAAGATAGGAGCTTGGGCAGATCCTCCGGAGGTACGGCAGCAAAAGATAGTAGAGATGGAAGAAATATTTGGGTTAAATAGGAAAAATGTAGACAGAGACAAAAACCCAAAGGAGGAGTTTGGGAGGCAAGTCAAAAAACAAATAAGACTTGAAATACTAAAGCGGGCAAGAGATTATGGTTAGAAAGGAATGCCAAAAGATTGGCTTTATTGAGAGTTAGAATAGAGGCAGAAATAAGATCAAGGGGGAATATTATTATACATATTTATATATAATATACTAAAATTAATAGCTAGCTGTAAAGATTAGATAATAACACCACAATTACATAAGTATGATTAATGTTATTATTATTATTATTATTATTATTATTATTATTATTATTTAATCTTTAGTGAGATTCACAGCCTTTGAGGTTGGTTAACAGCTCAGCAGCTCGAGTCCTAACCAAGGACCTAGGAACTGTTAAGGTATCGTCGGAGGATGTAAGCTGTTCCGAGTAAAATGGTTTTTTGTAGAGTCAAAATGTTCAAGTCCGGTAAATTTAGAATTTCTAAATAGCGGGGTAGCCCTTTGGGTATTGCTCCAAGGGCTCCAATTACAATCGGGACAACACACAATTTCTTTTTCCACAGTCGCTCAACTTCAATTTGCAAGTCCTGGTACTTTGTGATTTTTTCTTGCTGCTTATCTTCAATCTGTGCATCACCAGGTATTGCAATGTCAATGAACCATACTTTTTTCTTTTCAACTATTGTTATGTCAGGTGTGTTATGGACCAAGTGCCCGTCAGTCTGAATCCTAAAGTCCCACAAGATCTTGAGTTTCTCATTCTCTAAAACTTTCTCAACTTGATGTTCCCAGTGGTTTTTGCTGTACTCAAATCCAAACTTCTGGCACAATTTCCAGTGAATGATCTTAGCAACGCGGTTATGGCATTGTAGGTAGTCAGTTTGTGAAATTTTGCTGCACCCACTGATCAGGTGGTCGACTGTCTCATCTTTCTCATTACAAAGGTGGCATTTGCTGTTGGTGGTAACATGTTGAATTTTTGCCTTCATGCAGTTTGTGGCTAGGGCTTGTTCTTGAGCTGCCAAAATAAAGCTTTCTGTTTCTTTTTTCAGTACTCCTGATCTTAACCAGTTCCAAGTTAGTTTCTGGTCAGCTTTGCCTTCAATACTTTTCAAGTATTGGCCATGCAGAGCTTTGCTTTTCCAATTTTCAGCTTGCTGCTCAATTATTTCTTTCTTATATTCCGCTTTTGTTTTAGTTGTCTTTAAAAGGCCTCCTTTATTTACTTCCTTAATCATTGGTTCTTCACTTTTCTGGATGTAATCATTCAAGCTGCGTTTTTCTTCTTCCACAGTCTGCTTTACTTGTAGGAGTCCTCGACCACCCTCTGCTCTTGGTAAATATAATCGGTCAACATCACTTTTAGGGTCCAAGGCATGATTCATTGTCATAAGTTTCCTTGTTTTTCTGTCCAAATTGTCTAACTCCATGTTTTCTATTCTGATTCTGGATAATGTGTTCACGTAGAATGTGCTGAGAAAGAAAACGATAATCCTCCTGGTCATGGATTTCAAGGTGTCACTCTAATCTTCTCTTTCTTTTTGCTTTTTTCTCTTTCCATTCAGCCTCTGCTGGAGGGCTGGTTCCTCGCCCTTTATAATGTGGTCTACACATCGTTCCCAGTCCTGTGTTTGGGCTTGTTTGAACAGGTAAGTAACTTTGCATTGTGCAATGTTTTACCCTGCATCATTTTAATTGTAAGTTAAATCAATGGCCACTGCTATGTTCGTAAATATCCTTTACCTCCTTAATGCAAAAGAGAGAGAGAGAGAAGTGCATCCCTGATTTAAAGACAACCAAGAAATATTCCACTTAGCTAGAACCTTAAATAGCCCAGTGTTTCTGAGGTCTCCGATGAGGATAACTAGAGCAAATTTTGCAGGAGAACCATGCAGAAGACAAGTGGGAAAAAAAATGGCAGCGTGTGCTTTGAAAAATGACAAGCAAGTTTGGTTTCTTTAAGCCAGTTTTTTCTCCACCTTAGCAATTTTAAGATGTGTATACCAACTCCCAGTTTTCCCCAGCAAGGACTACCTATAAAAAAAACCTTTATTTTCTCCCAAGATGTTTTTTTCATTGCTCAGTGCAACCTGTGGGATTGTACGGTGATCTCCCTTCTTAATTTGAATGAATTCAGAATTTGTTCTCTATTTTCAAAACCAGGCAGGGTTAGCTAGATGCTTGCCACCTATTAAGCCATTTGGAGAATAAGTACAAATAAGTGAGATTTGTAGAAAAGAGGCAATGTGATGCAGTGGTTAAGTGTTGAGATTGTCATCCATGTACAAGTCTCCTGTTACCAGTGGTGGGTTGCTCCTGGTTCGCACCGGTTCGCAAGAACCGGTAGTAAAAATTTGTAGTAGTTCAGAGAACCAGTAATAACATTGGCTGGCCACACCCCCGAACCAGTCCCTGGCCTGGTTGCCGCTCGCATACCCTGCCCACCTCATCAGAGGCTTTTTTTTTTTTTACTTTTAAAAGCATTTTTTCTACAACCTCTTCGGCTGAAAAAATGCTTTTAAAAGTTAAAAAAAAAAAAGTTGGCCACACCCACTTAGTCACATTACACCCCACCGAGCCACGCCCACAAAAGAAACCATGCCCACAGAAGTAAAAAAATTTAGAACCCACCCCTGCCTATTACCCAGTGAACTATTTTTAACCACTCTCTACAGTAGTGGTGTCCAACCTTGGCAACTTTAAGAGTTGTGGACTTCAACTCCCAGAATTCTCTAACAAGCATGGCTGTCTGGGAAATTCTGGGAGTTGAAAGTCCACAAATATTAAAGTGGACTTCAACTCCCAGAATCTTTAAACTTTAAAATCTTAAAGCTGAAATCTTAAACACAAGACCTACTACAAGACCCATCACAACACTCACTAATGACTCACAGCTGATCTATCACAAGACCCTCATCTGAGACACACCCACACCTGAAGCCCTTATACACAGAATAACACCGACATTGACATCCCATAAACTCCGCTGAAGATGTTACCTAGCCTAGCAACAAAACGTTCGGAAACCAACCAACAAGTTCAGAGAACGAACCTTCTAATCTTAAAGTAGCCAAGGTTGCACGCTCCCTTCCTATAGTATCTGTAGATACTGTACAACCAGCCCAAGAGGTTTGCTCCAGGGGTGAAATGCTACCAGTTCGCACCTCTTCGGGCGAACCGGTAGTCAAAAAATGCTACCGGTTCATGTGAACCGGTATTTCCAACGATCAGCTGTACCGTGTGATTTATATTTGCTAGAAACAGGAAATCCTGCTTTCTAGTGAATCTAAATCATGCAGCATAGCTGTTCCCACCCCCCTCGCTGTTCTACTTACCTTCTTAAGCCTCGTTTTTCTGCACTGCGCGGTAGCGCCTGCGGTGCGCCTGCACACAAAGTGCACGTTTGCTGCACACTGTGCATGCAAGCATGCACTGCGCATTTGGTGTGCACTGTGCATGCATGTGTGCAGTGCACATTTGGTGCGCAGTGGGCATGTGTGCACAGCAAATTGGTGGCAAACCTCGGAGGATTTCACCCCTGGTTTGCTGTGTAAACTTGAGAATCAGATTATTGTGCAGTAATTGTTATCTATAACCAGCATGATTTGATTCATAAGCTACAGTGAGATCTGTGTGGCCTGAAAAAAGTAACAAATTTAGCAAATCAGAAGAAAAAGGAAAAAGAAGAACTAAAGTGTTAAAGCTTTATGTTAAGAAAAACCCAAACTTGGGACATGTTATGAAGCTCATTAATAAGATTATGATCCAAAACTCAGTCATATTGAGTTAAATTCTAGGTCAGGGGTCAGCAACCTGTGGCTCTAGAGCCACATGTGGCTCTTTCACCCTCTGCTGCGGCTCCCTGTCACTCAAAATATGCGTCACAACAGCCAATGTGCAACACCCACTGGCATGTGATTTATTGAGCTTTTCAACCCCTGGTAGGCCAACCATAGATAAATCCAAGAAAAGAAAAGTTCCAGAAGAAAATGGAACGTTTAATTCAACTACATAGGCTAGTTTTGTGGCTTCTCAAGAAATAGTCAGGCACGGGAAGGGTGTTTTCTTTTCTGTGGGAAACGGGTCCAAATGGCTCTTTGAGTGTTTAAGGTTGCAGAACCCTGTTCTAGGTCAATTTAAAAAAAAATGAAATTAGTTTTTACTCCCATAGCTTAAGTTGTCATACTTCTACGGAAGAAATTAATAAAAGATAGCAAAAACCACATTGGTATATTTTGTAGAAATAGAAGGTATAGCCATATTTTTATTAAACACTATTTGCCTTTCAGTGAAGTGGAATGATACTATAAGTATAGATGCTGTTATTCAAATAGTGAAAGTTGAGAAGAAGTAGATAATGGCCTAATGGTTACAGGCATTGTTTAACATTTTGAGGAAATCCCAAATTACATAGAGCTATTTTTTTCCCCTTTGTTCTTTCTCGGGTAGGTTTGTAAAGGGTTTTTTGTTTTTAAAACTATGGCAAGTCTCTTGTAGGTCTTCCAATATAGTTTTCATACATTTTCCACCCCAAAATGGGGAGAATTGTGACTTGAATTCTCTTTCAGTCTCTCAGGGAATGAGTTTGGCTGTAGAGCTGTGGGTTACAGCATCCATCTTGGAAATCTGGAGATCAGATTTCTGCCTTCTGTACCTGACATCACCAGCAGGGGGCAGCAGTATCCCTTTTGTGATAGGACTTTGTCCCATGGTCTTTTACTAAGGCAAAGATGGGAAATATTTGTTTATTATCCCCTCTTTATTACTTTTATAAATAATTCAAGGCAGCAAACATATATAATATTCCTTCCTCCTCTTATTTTCCCCCATCACAATCACCCTGTGAGGTAGTTTGGGGTGAGAGAGAATGACTGGGCCAAAGTCATCCAACCAGCCTTCATGCCTAAGGCGGGACTAGAACTCGCAGTCTCCTGGTTTCTAGCCTGGTGCCTTAAGTGCTAAATCAAACTGGCGCTAGGTTATGTCCAACAATTGCCTTTTTTTGAGCAATATTTTTAGTGGTTGAATATAAAGGTGCAGCAATCTGTTGATGATGTCATTGGAGGAGCAGTGATGAATTCTGCCTTTTTCCTGCCACTGTTGGAGAGGTTGTGGGGGCTAAGTAATATTAAGGGTTAAACTCAGGGGTGAAATGCTCCCGGTTTGGACCGGATTGCCCGATCCGGTAGCGATGGCGCAGGTGGTTCAGAGAACCGGTAGCAAAAATCCCTGCGCCGCCCCCCCCCAATGCCCAGCTGAGCTGCGCGATCATCAGAGGCTTTTTTTTTTACTTTTAGAAGGATTTTTTCTACAACCTCTTCGGCCGAAAAAATGCTTTTAAAAGTAAAAAACAAAAAGCCTCTGATGATTGCGCGGCTCAGCTGGGATCGTCAGAGGCTTTTAAAAGCATTTTTCCCTGCAACCTCTTAAGGTTGTAGAAAAAATCCTTTTAAAAGAAAAAAAAAGTTGGCCACGCCCACTCAGTCACATTACCCCCCCAAGCCACGCCCACACAGCCCGTAGTAACAAATTTTACATTTCACCACTGGTTAAACTTATCAATGGTTTTACACATCTGTTTTACTTTTTATTTTGCAAAGATGAGAAACCCCCTGTTTGCTATCCAGGTTCAGCTGGTCACATCTGGAGTGTTTTGGGAACCAATAAAAAGGAACAGGAGGGTGGGGGAAATCATCAGATTGCATCCCTGTTTTACAGTACAGGTAGTTCTTGATTTACAACAGTTTGTTTAGAGATGGTTCAAAGTTACGTGGCACTGAAATAAGTGATTTATGATGTTTTTCACACTTACGACCATTGCAGCATCCCCAGGGTCACATGATCAAAATTCAGATGCTTCTCAATGGACTCATTTATGATGGTTGCAGTGTCCCGGGGTCATGTGATCACTTTTTTGTGACCTTGTGACAAGCAAAGGCAATGGGAAAGCCAGATTCATTTAACAACTATAGTGCTTCACTTAACAATTGTGGCAACAAAGTTTATAAAATGGGGCAAAACTCATTTAATAACTGTCTCGTTTGGCGAGAGAAATGTTGGGCTCAATTGTAGTCATAAGTCGAGGACTGCCTATAATCTTATCCAATGTCACTCCCTCCAGTTATGTTTAATCTGCTTTTCCCTTGTTCCTGAATTGTCTTCACTCTTTCTCCGATTAGGATGTGAATGCCAAGAAAAGTCTGCAGTTCCCTGAGCTGTACAAGGCAGGTCAAAAAGACCTCTTCTTCAATTTTGAGATATTCTTTGTGTCGTTCATCCATGGATCCTTTGTCTCTTTGGCCAACTTCTACATCACCATGTGGGCTATGGGGGACAGATCGGGCATCCGGGTCACGGGTGATTATCAGTCCTATGCTATGATTGTTGGAACCTCCGCCATCTTGACAATCATGGCTGAGGTGAGTAATTTTGTGTGGTGGTGGGGAGGTTGAGTGTGATGGAATTTCTCCATGAATTCCTCTGGGAATAGCTTTAGGAGCAAATGCCTTGTGCTGTTTCAGATAGTGAGTTATAGTGAATTAGTTACTTTAAGAATTAAGAGCTGTCTCCTTAAGAGATTGTGGGAGATGTAGAGAGAGATTGCTTTATGGGAAATGTAGTCCATGACATGTGACCACATGTATCTGATTGGCCACAGAGGCTCTCTGCCTGGGTGCAGAACAAAGACCCGGCCATTTTGAACTACCACAGAAGAGAGAAGCATGCTTTCTGAACAGGGGGAGAGAACTACCGTCTTTTACACTAGGAAATGGGACAGATTATGAAATAAGAATGAATCTCAACATGACTCACCACGATTGTAAGTCTATGTTTGAGGATACCCTAATAAACAATCTGTATGAAAACCTGTTTGCTAGAGTTTATCTGCGTTCCCAGTGGAGCCAGATGCCTGGGGAACAGAACAAAACATCCCTAAAGATCAGGGGTGGGTTCTAAATTTTTTTACTACCGGTTCTATGGGCGTGGCTTATTCTGTGGGTGTGGCTTGGAGGTCATGTGACTAGGTGGGCGTGGCTAGTTGGTCAGAGTCATTTCTGGAAGGTCCTCGCACTTACGACCAGTCCTCGCACTTACAACCCGACTCATTTGTTTGCTTTTAACACTGATCAGCTGTAGGACGGCCCTTTGAAGCCCCCCGGCAAGAGTTTAAACAGTTTTTTTCCCTCTAGTCATCAGCTGGGACTCAGGAGGCAGCAATAGATTGGGGGTGGGACCAAATAAAAGGTAAGAATAACGTGGGGGGGTGGGGAGGGCAGGGGAGGAGAACCGGTTCGATAACATCATATCATCACCGCTACAGGCTCGGCTGAACCGGACCGAACCGGGAGGAACCCACCACTGCTAAAGATACTGCCCAGAGATAGTCCAGAGTTGGCACAAAATAAAATGAATAAAGAGCTGGTTCTGGATTGTGCACGGTCATTCCAGGAAGTGCTGAGAAAGGGAAGAAACCCTTCTAGAAAGATCCTGTCTCTGCTATGAGCACAACACATAAGGGTGCTTTCTTAATATAAATTTAAGAAAGCTTCGGGGAATAGCTTGACTCCTTCTTCTTTGTGGCAGCCCCTGAGATATTGGAACTCTGCTATCATGTCACCCCTAGTCCAGTGGTGAAATCTGAACCGGTTTACTACGGGTTCGCTGGCTGCGCATGTCCGCTGCATGCCAAACGCATGCTGCGTGTGCACATGCATACTACCCACCACGCACCAAATGTGAGGTTGCATGTGTGCGCACACGCAGTGCACGCCAAAAGTGTTGCAGAAAATCAAAGGACTCGGACTTCGAAATCAAGAGAAGCTTTATTTTGGCCAAAAGGTTCAGACAGAAAAGATAACCATCTAACATCTGAACAAAGTTCTGGTTAAGACACGCATTCTTATAGTCTTCTAAAGCAGCAAAAACACGGAAGTATGTGAAATCATTCCTATTAGCTAGGCCCCTTCTTGATGAGCAGAAAAGCTGATTCATGCTGACCCATGTGGTTTTTAGTTCTGCATTTTGACATGGAAGGAGAAAGTTAGCTAACTCTGCGGTTTGACTTTTTGAACTCAGAAACGGTCTCTTACAATAACAAGGTCGAGGGACCTTTAGAGATCATCCAAGCCAACCCCGTATCATTTCACTCTTATATCCAAATTTCACTTTACGCCCTACTTTAAAAGGAGGCATGGGGTAAGTAGAACAGCTTGCAGGAGTTATGTGTGTGTGATCAGCTGTGGCGTGCGATCTTCGGAGCCTTTTTTTTACTTTTCAAAGCATTTTTACTACCGGTTCCGGAGAACTGGTAGTAAAAAAGTAAAAAAAAAAGTTGCTGGCTGAAGAATTTTGGGAGTTGAAGTCCAGAAGTCTCAAGGTTGCCAAGATTGGAGAGCCCTGTTCTAGAGTCTCAACATCGTTTTTTATATTGTGGCGACCAAAATTGGATGCAGTAATAGTGCATCCAGTTTTGGTTGCCACAATATCAATTGTGGCTCAATTGTGGTTATAAGTCGAGGACTAGTTGTAAGGGAAAAAATGCACTTTGATGCCCCTACTGTTGTGGACAGATTCTAAGAGACAGAATCCTACTCATCTCCCATCTGTTTCTGATCATTTTCGGGGGGAAGGGGTGGGGGAGAAATTTACCAAAACAGCTATAGAGACAGAGAATTCATGAAGAATCTTTTTTTTTTAACAGAGTCTCTCCAAAACTTTCTCTTGATCTCAGAACTGATAAACAGTTCCCCTGAAAGCATAACCTGAATGAAATGAGTTTGACCCTCTTCTTGACTGGGTCTATTTGATCCCCCCCTCAGGATTAGTTTACTACCTCAATTGACTCCATCTTCACCTCCCTTAACCCAGTTAAATGCATTATGGGAACAGGATAAGCATGTCTGACACCTTAGCATTTATTTTAAAGCAATCTGATGCAAGGTATAGTATATTTTTTATAGGAAATGAATGCAGTGGAAATGAGAGATATATGCCCAAGTTTTGTACCCACTCTTTCCATTCTCCTCCACTAGTTAGCTTCTTTCCTTCTTTCTTTCTTTCTTTCTTTCTTTCTTTCTTTCTTTCTTTCTTTCTTTCTTTCTTTCTTTCTTTCTTTCTTTCTTTCTCTCTCTCTCTCCCTCCCTTTCTTTTCTTTCTTTCTTTTCTCTCTCTCTCTCTCTCTTTCTTTATTTATTTATTTCCTGCTTTTCTTATTTTACAAATAACTCAAGGCGGCGAACATATCCAACACATCTTCCTCCTCCTATTTTTTCCCAACAACAACCGTGTGAGGTGGGTTGGGGTGAGAGAGGGTGATGGGCCTAGGTTTTGCCCTTCTTCTCCCCCAAGTCAACCATTTTTTTTCCCAGCACAATTCTGACAGTGTCTTTTCTTTTTCCCCCGCCTTCCCTCCTTGCATAGATCATGCTGGAGATGAAATTCTGGACCGTCTTCTCTTCCCTGGCCATCTTGATCAGCTTCCTCCTTTATTGCCTTTTCACGTACCTCACTCAAAACTTCGAAGCCTACAGAACCAGTCCCCAAATGTTCCCCTTTCTTGGTAAGTTTGTTTGTTTGTTTGTTTGTTTATTTATTTGTTTATTTATTTATTTATTTATTTATTTATTTAATTTGATTTGTATGCCGCCCTATCTCCATGGGACTCAGGGCAGCTCACAACAATTAAATACAATCCCAATCCAATAAAAACATGTTAAAAATACATATTAAACCCATAAAACACATTAAAAATAATCAAAACCCCATCAGTTCAGGCTGGGCAATTTGAACAGCCATGTTTTTAGTTCGCGGCGGAAAGTGTGAAGGTCAGGGACCAACCGGAGCCCCCAGGGGGAGTTGATTCCAAAGGGTGGGTGCGCCCACAGAGAAAGCTCTACCTCTGGGGGCCGACATTGTCTAGCTGACGGCACCCTAAGTAGGCCCTCCCTGTGAGAGCGCACCGGGCGATCGGAAGCTGTTGCTGGTTGCAAATGGTCCGACAGATATCCTGGGCCTAAGCCATGTAGGGCTTTATAGGTCATCACCAGCACCTTGAATCTCACCCGGAGGGCAACCGGCAACCAATGCAAGTCGCGCAGGAGAGGTGTAACATGGGAGTATTGGGACCCTCCCATCACAACCCGCGCGGCCGCATTCTGTACCAGCTGAAGCCTCTGAGTGGTCCTCAAGGGCATCCCCAAGTAGAGAGCATTGCAGTAGTCAATATGGGAGGTGACTAGCGCATGAGTAACTGTGCGTAGGGCATCCCGGTCCAAATAGGGGCGCAACTGGCGCACCAGGCAAACCTGGGCAAACGCCCCCCTGGTCACTGTTATATGATCTTCTAAGCTCAACCATGAGTCCAGGAGGACACCCAAGTTGCGTGCCCTATCTACAGGGGCTAACACCTCGCCCCCTATAGCCAAAGATGGAACCTCTCGATCGGACCGGGATGCCGGTATCCACAGCCACTCAGTCTTGGCAGGGTTGAGCTGAAGCCTGTTCCTCCCCATCCAGACCCATACTGCTTCCAGGCACTGGGACATCACGTCGAGGGCATCACTGGGCTGGTTCGGGGTGGATATAAAAAGCTGGGTATCATCAGCATACTGATGATACCTCACCCCGAAACCACGGATGATCTCTTCCAGCGGCTTCATATAAATGTTGAACAGAAGAGGCGAGAGGACCGACCCCTGGGGCACCCCATAAATGAGGGGCCTCATGGCCGACCTCTGCCCCCCCATCAACACCGCTTGTGTACGACCCAAGAGGTAAGAGGAGAACCACCACAAAACAGTGCCTCCCACTCCTAACCCCTTGAGGCGTCGCAGCAGGATACCATGGTCGATGGTATCAAAAGCCGCTGAAAGATCTAATAGGACCAGAACAGAGGAATAACCTCTGTCCCGAGCCCTCCAGAGATCATCCACCAGCGCGACCAATGCCGTCTCCTACCTCCAGATGGAACTCTTTGGGTTCTCTTGCATGTGCAAAATTAAGCTGCAAGCTTGATTGGCTCCTGAGAGGGCTTGAGTCATACAGTATTTACAATCTGATCCCAAGATCAGGGGTGGGCTGCTGGGGGTTCACGGGTTCAGGAGAACCTCTAGCTAAGATTCTGTACAGTTCGGAGAACCCCCAAATCCTACTCCTGGCTGGCCCCGCCCACCCCACCCCTGCCCTCCCCTCCCAGGAGTCCCCACGCAGCCCATTTTGGATGCAGGCTTGGAGAGGGCAAAAAACTGGCCTATTGGAAGTTCGGGAAGCCCGTTTCCGGCCTCCAGAGGGACTCTGGAGCCTGGGGAGGCCGTTTTCGTCCTCCCAGAGGCTCAAGGAAAGCCTCCGGAGCCCGGGGAGGACAAAAATGTCACCCACCCCCCACTGTGGTGCAGAAGGCCAACTAGGCCACACCAGTGGTGGGTTGCTCCTGGTTCAGTCCGGTTCCATAGAACCGGTAGTAAAACCAGTGGGAGCTCATGAGTGATCTGTGTATGTGCAGAAGCGCGCGCAAACGAAACAAAAACCCACACGCACTCCCGTTGCGAACTGGTAGTAAAGGTAAGTAAAACCCACCCTGGGCCACACCCACCATGGCCATGCTCACCCAGCAACCGGACAGAGAACCCCTTGCTAAAGTTTTTGAAGCCCACCCCTGCCCAAGATGTTAAAAGAAAGAGAATGAGGTAAATTGGATCCCTTATTTACTTTCTCCCAACTTTTCCTGCCTTAAAACCATAATATTCAACATCATTCAAAAGAAGTGGGAGCAACCTAAGGAGGGGATCGGTTGGTCCAGCCCAGAAGCCAGAAGAAGGGATGGACCATTTGTGGTCCAGTGTGTTTAAACTATTCTCTGTCTTTATGTCATCAGGTTGATCCTTAAAACAGCATGTAGGAGTCCTCAACTTACAACCATTCATTTTGTGACCATTTGAAGTCCCGATAGCATTGAAAAAAGTGACCTATGACTGATTTTCATACTTATGACCATTGCAGCATCCCCATGGTCACATGATCAAAATTCAGACCCTTGACAACTGGTGTGAATTTGTGACGGTTGCAATGTCCCAGGGTCATGTGATCCTCTTCTGAGATCTTCTGACAAGCAAAGTCAATGAGGAAGCCAGATTCACTTAACAACTGCTTTACTAACTTAACAACTGCAATGATTCATTTTACAACTGTAGCAAGAAAGGTCATAAAAGGGGGCAAATCTAATAAGCATTTTCTTGCTTGGCAGTGGAAATTTTGGGCTCAATTACGGTCATAAGTCAAGGACTAACTTTTTATTTGTATGCACAGCACACTGTTGTGCAAACTCAAGGGTAAGGTTTATCAAGTTGTGTGAATTGCCCTACTCAAAGCATCTTCCTTTCTCCTCCAGAGGCCGCCAGGAACGCTCTGACTGACCCAACTGCTGTGCTTGTCATCTTGTTGTGTGTTGTGGTGAACATCATCCCCTCCCTTGTTGTCCGTTTTGTGTGCAATACCATCAGCCCTCCGACTATGTCAGAGGTGAGTCCAGCTTTCCAAGGGCAGCAAGCATCAAAAAAGACTTTGATTGGGTTGCAAGGACTGGTGGAAGGAGAGGGACAGATGAGTGACTTTGGCTTGATGAACCAGATTAACTAAAAAGGCATTTTAAATAATGAGTGTGCTGGACGAAGTTATTCTGGTTTGATTCTGATTTGGAGTATTATGTGAGCTCAGAAGCTAGATAATGTCAGTAACCAGTTAGAGCAGGGGTGTCAAACTTGATTTCATTGAGGGCCGCATCAGGGTTGTGTTTGACCTCCGGGGGGGAACGGGAGGGCATGGCCGGGGTGGGTGTGGCCACTCATGTCCGGGATGCCTGTGGTGGCCCAAGCGGTCTGCCAGCTAAATGGGCTCCCAAGCTCCGTTTTCAGCTGCAATGGCCTCCTGCAACCCTCTGCCAGAGAAAACGGAGTTCAGGAGGGAGGGCCCACCCGACCTCCCTTTTCAGTGGCAGAGGCACTGTGAGTCAGTCCTTTGCTTTTTCCAGGGCGGCCCCACAGGCCTTGAGTTTGATATCCCTGGGTTAGAGACACTGCAAATCTAGCCTTGTTTTGTCTGCATTTGGGGCAAAAGTTGACTAATTGGGTAAAAGTTGGAAGCTTTTTCACTTTGGTGCAGCATTTCTCAACTGTATTAACTTGAAGATGCGTGGACTTCAATTCCCAGAGTTCCCCAGCCAGGCATGCTGATTAGGGAATACTGGGAGTAGAAGTGCATGCATCTTAGAATTTCCAAAGTTGAGAAACATTGTTTTAGTAGTAGAGAAAACCAGTGAACACCGCAACATAACGTACCAAGAAGGAAGCAACAACTTAGGTAAAAGCCAGACACGGCCTTGACAGAATAAGTTTCAATTTTTAATGATATGTTTTACTTTTAATCATGCTTGTTTTATATTTTTTATAATGAGGCTTTTTATGTATTGTTTTATTTGATTGTTGTATGCTGCCTGCTGGGATCGCCAGAGGTTTTTATAGGCATTTTTTTTCCTACAACCTCTTCGGCTGAAGAGGTTGCAGAAAAAAATGCTTTTAGAAGCCTCTGGCGATCAGGCAAGTCAGCTGGGATCTCAGAGGCTTTTAAAGGCATTTTTTTCCCTATAACCTCTTTGGCCGAAGGGGTTGCAGAAAAAAATGCTTTGAAAAGCCTCTGATGATCCCAGCTGAGCCGCACGATCATCAGAGGCTTTTTTTTTTTTTTTACTTTTAAAAGCATTTTTTCGGCCGAAGAGATTGTAGAAAAAATGCTTTTAAAAGTAAAAAAACAGCCTATGATGATCGCATGGCTCAGCTGGGCATGGGGGGACACATGGATTTTTGCTACCGGTTCTCCGAACCACCCGCCACCATCGCTACCGGATCGGGCAATCCAGTCCGAACTGGGAGCATTTCACCCCTGCATGTGACACATATACAAAAGTTTAGAGGTTTGGCCACGTAGTTATGACTGCTATCTGATTTACTTTGAGCCCCTTCCTGCAGACATTCCTGATCACTAGGTTAATTTGGAAAATTTACTTGCTAGGATAAATCTTTGAGTTCCCCCTAAAACCTGCTCGTAACCTTGTTGTAGAGAGACTGTGCTATTTTAGCCACTGCATTCCCAGGAGGTATTAACACTTAGTAAGTAGACCCTTTCCAACTTGGAAGTGTCCTGATGGAGTGAGAAACTTCCTTGATGCCCAGATCTGAGGGCGGATGGGAGCTGTCGTTCATCCCAGAGGGAGGATCGCAGAATCAGGAAGACTGGTACAAAAGTTATATGCCGATCCACCTTCCTTCTTCCTTTCCTTTCAGATGTTTCAAGCCCGGGAGATCCAGAAGAAGCATTCGACGGTGGAGCTGACATCTCACAACAGTAGGAATTCGTTCCTGAGGCGTTCCAGCTACGCCTTTTCCCACAAGGAAGGATACGCCCATCTCATCGCCAAGGGAGCCAGTTTGCGGAGCAAGAGCGTCCCTGTCCGCAGGAAACTGAACGGTTTGTTCAGCACCCAAAGCCCTGGAAAAGACAACTCACTGCCAACTGAGATCAACGCTGCCCCTAAAGAAGCTTCTTCAGAGCAGAAGGTCCAACTCGGTTGAAGGAGACAAAGCCTATTACAGATAACAGGAAGGGCCATCGCTGGGCCTGTATTCCCTTGTCCTGCACAGGAGTGACTTTTGCCTAAATGCCACAATTTCTTCCTGAATCCAAGGATTGCACTGGGCAGAAGCTTTCCATGGACAGTGTCTGTTTGTCATTCATGAAGTTCTGAGTTCGAATCCTAGAGACATCTGACTCAGATTTCATTGATCGGATCGTCTCATTCTTTTTTTTCTGCCATATTCTATTCTGTGCAATAATCTTGCGAGTGATAATTAATCACCTTGGCTAGGTTACATAGAGATGGTGGGCAGTCAGTGGGTACCGGTACTGGCCCATGCCATCCTAAGAAAACAGTGTTTGCTCTGGTTTCAAATCTGGAAGGCTTTGCAGATCTCAGCCCAAAGTTCTCGTCTCTAGGCAAGCTTAAAAGCCTCAGAACTATGCAGGGTAGTTCCTGGTAAAGGAGAAAATCCTTGCTTGCAGAAAGTCACCATCTCAGGCAGAAGGACCTCCAAATTCCAATTATGGAAAGGGCAGACAGCAGTGGTGGGATTCAAATAATTTAACAACCGGTTCTCTGCCCTAATGATTTCTTCCAACAACCAGTTCATCAAACTACTCAGAAAGTTAACAACCGGTTCTCCCGAAGTGGTGCGAACTGGCTGAATCCCACCACTGGCGGACAGTGAATGCTGGAAGAAAGACATACCATAACTTTAAGAGGTTTGGACTTCAACTCCCAGAATTCCTTGGTCACCATGTCTTTCATGTCCTTCATGGTGTTTCAGATGTATGAGCCTAGTCTAGTGAAGAGAAGGAGCAGGGGAGACATGATAGCAGTGTTCCAATATTTGAGGGGCTTCCACAGAGTGGAGGGGGTCAAGTTATTTTCCAAGGCACCCGAAAGCCAGACAAGGAATAATGGATGGAAACTGATGAAGGAGAGATTCAACCTAGAAATGAGGAGGAACCTTCTGACAGTGAGAACAATCAACCCATGGAACAGAAGTTGCCTTCGGAAGTTGTGGGAGCTTCATCACTTGAGACTTTCAAGAAAAGATTGGACTGCCATTTGTCAGAAATGGTGTAGGGTCTCCTGCTTGAGCGGGGGGTTGGACTAGATGTCCTGTAAGGTCCCTGCCTACTCTGTTAATCTGAGCCTAAGTGGTTAAACTGGTTTGCAAAGCAAAGTCCAAACATCATTGTGCCAAAAAGAAAGTTTTCTCTCCCAAATCAGAGAAAAGGCTATGCCATCCAGCACACTCTTCATAATGGTTACCAATCACAGGTCTCTGGAAAGTCCATAAATTGGTCACCATTGCAATAGCCTTCTTCTGTTTCTTGTCCCCAGTGTCTGGTATTTAAGTTTCATTTCCTTAATTTGTGCAATGCCAATTAATATAATATGGGAAAGTAAGAGAAGGGCAACCAGATCCGACAGAATTACTATCTAATTTAGAACAAACATGCAAAGAGCCGCTTGGGAGATCTGTGGAAGTTCCCCAACAATCAGGCCTCATGCCAACTGCCTATTACCAGCATTTGTTATCTAAAGATAGACTGCTCCTGCTTATGGGTAGTTCCTTCTCAGCTATCATGGGCTTACAGGCAGGGGGCAGACAACCAAAGTAATATGATGGCGGGATTTTCAATCTACTTTTTAAGATTTATTTTAAAAAGTAGGGCTTTATCTATCTTTTCTGGCTGTGAGAAAGGTGAACAAGGTGTGTTTGCATATTTCTTTTAAAAATATAATAAACATATTTTTTAAAAAACAAGTCCCTTTTAACATTGAATTTGTTTATAAAATCCTTCTTTCTTTCTTTCTTTCTTTCCTTCCTTCCTTCCTTCCTTCCTTCCTTCCTCCCTCCCTCCCTCCCTCCCTCCCTTCCCTTGTTGCATAATAGATAAAGAACAGCATTCTTTCAGAAGTTGCTGAATAACCACTTCAAACATCCTCAGCTGTCATAGTTTGTGGTTAAGGTTGTTGGGAATTGTAATTCAATAATTTCTGAAAGGTTATTGGTTACATACTTTGTAATGTATTATTTTAATTTATACTGGGTGTCACATTGAGTGGATCTGCCAGTGTTTCTCAAACTTGGCAATTTTAAGAGGTTTGGTCTTCAACTCTCAGAATTCATCAGTCATCCGGCTGGCTGGGGAGTTCTGGGAGTTGAAGTCCATGCATTTTAAAGTTGCCAAGATTGAGACACTCTACTGTAGAATGATATGGTGGCCATACAAACTATAGGTCTATGGGTCCCATGTAATGAATTTCCCCCTAAGCAGTGTGTGTGTAGGATTTGTGTGTGTGTCAGGGGTGAGATGCAATTTTTTTTACTACCGGTTCTGTGGGCGTGGCATGGCTTGGTGGCCGTGACAGGGGAAGGATACTGTAAAATCTCCATTCCCACCCCACTCCAGGGGAAGGTTACTGCAAAATCCCCACTTCCTTCAGAACAGCTGGGACTCGGGAGGCAGAGAATAGATGGGGGTGGGGCCAGTCAGAAGTGGTATTTACTGGTTCTCCAAACTACTCAAAATTTCCACTACTGGTTCTCCAGAACTGGTCAGAACCTGCTGAATACCACCTCTGGGGTGTTTTTGTGTGTGTGTTTGTGTTTGTGTGTGTGTGTGTGTGTGTGAGTGTGTGTGTGTGTGTGTGTGTGAGAGAGAGAGAGAGAGAGATGTATATTACACCAATGTTTTGAAAGCATTGGGACTTCCATTAAAACTGGGGTTCAGTTCACGTCTCAACAATTTTGCACAATCCAGCACTTCTAAAATAAAATGGACTCTACGCTTTTGGAAAAATCTGTCTGAACTTGCACGCCTTTAAAACCATCTCATTCAAGCTGCCTTGCTCACCTGAACAAGGTTTCTACAGCATAAAAATATCCAACCACGTTGGACACAGTCCAAATCTCTGCTCTTGCAGAGTGACAAAATATATGGCTTGACGATGGAAGCCGAATGCATTTTTTTAAAAAAATTGATTTATATGCCGCCCTTCTCCGGAGACTCAGGGTGGCTTACAGTGCGTTAAGCAATAGCCTTCATACTTTTGTATATTTATACAAAGTCAGCTTATTGCCCCCACAAACCGGGTCCTCAATTTACCTACCTTAGAAAGGATGGAAGGCTGAGTCAACCTTGAGCCTGGTGAGATTTGAACTTACGTTAATTGCAGACAGCTGGTGTTAATCACAATGGTATTAGTCTGCTGAGCCACCAGGCCCCTTTGTATTTTCAAGAGAGGCAGGATCTGACGCTCTGGTCTCTTCAACTTGGCAGCTGCTATTTTACTCCTCCCAGGATGCTCTGTTCTGGGAGGCAATTAAAACAAGAAGTGGCAACCTGAGCAGAATCCAAATAAAAGCATCTCCCTCCACCTGAGCATTCAGGATTGACCAGTCCAGGGAGGGCTGGAATCTGGGACTCTTTGTTCCCAAACCAGTACCTGCACCTGATTGGCTCTTGAGGTGACAGGGAGGGACTGACCCAAAGTCATCCAATGAGCTTCCACGGTTGAAGGGGCACTAGAAGCTGAGTCTCCCTGCTCCTAGCCAAGCATCTTTGTACTGCACCTGATTGGCTCTTGGACTTGAGAGGGAGGGACTGGCCCAAAGGAGCCAATGAGCTTCTGTAGTTGAAGGGAGACTAGAAATGGGGTCTTCCCCGCTCCTTGTCTAGCATCTTAATTACTACCTCACATTGGCTCCACCCACAAAATTCTCATTTCCCCAAATGTTCACAAAGTGAGCCTTTACTGTCTTCTAAAAGTAAATGTGAGTTGTATCTTTGCATTTAAAAGAAAAAAAAAACCCCAGTGGTATTCTATTAGGAGCATGTACAGCAAGTTTATTACATCTGTAGGTCGCATGAGTTACGGTGAATGAGGTGGTATTCAGCCGGTTCGGATCAGTTCGGCCGAATCAGTAGCGGAAATCGTGGGTGGGCCTGCCCATCCACCCACCCCAGCTCTATACCATCCTATTTAGGCACGTTTTTGAGGCCGGGCGCATGTGCAGAAAAGCACATGCGCAGAAAGGCTGGGTGCATGTGTGGTTGGAGCTGTGGGAATGGGAGTGGGGAATAGAGATAACTGGGGACTTGTAGTCAAAATAAAATGTTTTCTCCTGGGAACCAAGGACGTTTTCACCAGGTGTTGGGGAGGCGTGGACTAAAACCAACAAGGGTTGGGGTTGTGACCGGATTGGACCATGTGATGGACATGTGGACCAGTGGTGGGTTGCTCCCGGTTCTGTCCAGTTCTATAGAACCAGCAGTAAAATCGGTGGGAGGCTCCGCTCACCTGCTCGGATGTCATAAATGATGATTTGCACTTGCGCACAAGCGCGCACATGCGGCCCTGTTGCAAACCGGTAGTAAAAGTAAGTAGAACCAGTGGTGAAATGTAAAATTTGTTACTACCGGTTCTGTGGGCGTGGCTTGGTGGTGGTGGTGGTAATATGACTGAGTGGGCGTGGCCAACTTTTTTTTTTTTTTACCTTTAAAACTTCGGCTGAGGAGGTTGTAAAAAAAATGCTTTTAAAAGCCTCTGACAATCCCAGCTGACTTGCCTGATCAGCAGAGGCTTTTTTTCCTTTTAAAAACATTTTTTTTCCTTTTAAAAACATTTTTTCGGCCGAAGAGGTTGTAGAAAAAATGCTTTTAAAAGCCTCTGATGATCCCAGCTGAGCCACACGATCATCAGAGGCTCTTTTTTTTACTTTTAAAAGCAATTTTTTAGCAAAAAAGGTTGTAGAAAAAATGCTTTTAAAAATAATAAAAAAAAAGCCTCTGATGATTGCGCAGCTTAGCTGGGCAATGGGGGGTGGGCAGGGATTTTTGCTACCGGTTCTCCGAACCACCCGCCTCCATCGCTACCGGATCAGGCGATTCGGTCTGAACCGGGAGCATTTCACCCCTGAGTAGAACCCACCCGTGATGTGGACTGGGGAAAGAACTTTGATTTTTAATTTGGGTGGGGAAAACCGCGGGAGCTTCAGAGTCAGGTTTTCACCAGATGTGCCAGTACGACATGCCTAATAAATCTGTACTTTGAGGAACACCTAGGCCTCAGAAGTTTGATTGGGTTGGGTCTGTTACTAGGATCCTTGACACAGACTTTGCTGATGAACTGGTTACCCAAACAAATAAGGTATCCACAACCCTGAAGGAATTTCATTGATCATACCACATTATCTGCTTTTAATTAAATTCCTCAAATGTTTCCTGTGAATCAAGAAAGCCTTTTGTTTCAGATTGGGCATATTTCCCTAAACTCTTCCTCGCCTTTACTGGTTCACGGACAGGAGAAGGATCTTTATAGCATTTGTGTTGTATTGTAACCTCATTGGGATTTTCTACATAAATAATACGTGCTCTATCACTGAAGATGCCACCTTGTCAAAAGATCTTGCAATCCACAAGAATGACCAATGAACTCAAAGAAAGCATAATTAAGCTCCATAAATAGAAGCTAGATGGCCAACTTTAACATATTTAATAAATAAAACGTAACAAATTAATATTAATATAGTTAATAACTTTAAGGGATGCTTTAGCTGGCATATAGAGCCTCGGTGGTGCAGCAGACTAAAGTGCTGTTAAGTGCTAGCACTTAGCTGCCAGCTTCCTGCAATTAGTGCAAGTTCGAATCTCACCAGGCTCAAGGTTGACTCAGCCTTCCATCCTTTCGAGGTAGGTAAATTGAGGACCTGGATTGTGGGGGCAATAAGCCAACTTTGTATAGAACAACACTGCTTAGGGGAGGCCAAAAGCCCTAATAAACAGATATATAGAAAAAGTATGCAGGCTATTGCTATAATGCATTGTAAGCCGTCCTGAGTCTACAGAGAAGGGCGGCATATAAATTGGACTAATAAATAATAAATAAATATCCTCCATCAAGAACAAGATTGGTCAAGATACTTCTTAACATCTCTGTTTATTTAAGGAAGGAATTTAACACAGAGTTTCTGACAGCCATTAGAAAAAACAAGAAGCAGCTGTAGTACAATGATATCTGTAAAAACATCAAGGATGGAAACAGACACAAAAAAAGAAACTCTTCTAAAAGTTCTCTAAACCTGGAAGAAAATACCAGACTCGAAGTAGCATGCTAAAAGTGCCAATGAACAGATAATAATTGATTCAAAGAAGATAAAAGATGGAAGGCAGATACTGAAATTCTGTACAGATAGTCTTTGATTTACGACCACAACTGAGCCCAAAATTTCCATTGCTAACTACAACAGTTGTTAAGTGAGTTTTACCCCATTTTATGACCTTGCTTGCTACAGTTGTTAAGTGAATCACTGCAGTTATTAAGTTAGTAACACCGTTAAGTGAATCTGGCTTCCTCATTGATTTTACTTGTCAGAAGGTCACCAAAAGGTGATCACATGACCCCAGGACACTGCAACCATCCTAAATACATGCCGATTGCCAAGCATCCCACTCTATAAAGCCCTAGTAAGACCACACCTAGAGTACTGCATCCAGTTTTGGTCACCACACTATAAAAAAGATGTTGAGACCAGGAGTGGGTTCTAAATTTTTTTACTACTGGTTCTGTGGGCGTGGCTTATTTTGTGGGCGTGGCTTATTTTGTGGACATGGCTTGATGGTCATGTGACAATTTTTTAGGATTTAGCAGATGTACTGATCTACCAGGTTTTTAACTGCTTGCAGAGCTGTACTGGTCTACTCATTTGTTTTTGCAGGCACTGGTCTACTCATGTATTTTTGCAGGCACCAGTCTACTCAT